TCCACGATCCATCGTCCCAACACCAAACTGTTGGCAATGCGTCCCGCTCTCTCGGCCGGCTACCAAGTTGCGGTACGCAGGCGGCAGCGGTGCGGGCGCGGGAGCGGTAGTTGGACGGTGTGGGCGTTCTCAGCCAGCCGTGCTGTCAGTCGCGTTTCGTGCCCATCGCGTCTGATTGCGTTTCGTCAGTCAAACGGTGATTGGCGCAGGCGAATCAAACAGGCGCGGCGCGCAAAGAGAAATGCCAGTTTCGCGTCCGGCCCACGTCGACGTGACCCCCCAATCCCGAAGTGAAAATGGTAGGAAATGAGAAAAATCCACACCACCGCGCCGGCTACTTGCGACGTTCCGGGGACCCACTTGCCCACGTCCGGGCTGCGAACGCCAGCAGAAGTGCAGCAGGAAGGCGTGGAGGAGTTGCAGCAGCGAGCGAGCACCAGCCTGCGTCCCAGGCCGAGCAGGTACCTGCAAGAGGAACGGCGGGTCAAGAGTGGAATCGACCGGGAAGGGGACTCCTAGCCGGCCCCCTGCGCGTTCCCACCGTTCGCACGTGTATTGGATCGCGTACTCGAACAGGGTTTGTGAGGCGGAGGTACACAGGGATACCTCCGCTCACCGCCGCGAGTGACAGGCCGGGTCAGCGTCCACGGGAACCAGCATGCATTCCGCTGGTGCGCGTTAGTGCAGCTTATCGAGACACGTATCGACCGAGTACCGGAGCCACCCTGTTTGCACTGATGTAGTGGCTGGAGTCCGGAAGACGGGGTATCTGCCTATTGGTCCAAAACGAGGGCGCTCTGGTGGGAATTTGGCTAAGGTACTGCGGTACTGCAATGCTGGGCTTCCCCGTTGGATATTTCCATCACACTGGAGAAAGGACACTAGTATCGCCCTGCTTGTCCCCCTTTTAGCTGGTCCAGCTACCGGCCGCACATGGCTCGGGTAGAGCCTAGGCACGATGTAATTAGCAGCTGGATATAGTGGTCTTGTACATTATAGGGCATGGTATCCGTCGCGATGAGGCAGGCACCTTGAGCCACGAAACGGGAAGGGGCCGGCCATGACCAACTAAGCGGAACATTGTCACGCTGATGATGTGGCGACTGCGCAAGAACATCAGAAGGCGGAGGGGATCATAGAACCATTAGAAGCTGTGGGAGCGTTCCTCACCAGGTACCCTCGTCCTTCCACACTTCCAGTCTCCGGAGCCGGGGCGAAATTGCCAACCAAATCGGCGGTCCGGGATATGGCGAGACTAGACCGGGAGGGGCAACGAGCAACCTTGAGACCTCCATCGCCCCAAGTCGTCGGTGATTGCAATCTCTTTTTCCTCGTCACCTTTCTTTTGCCTCAGCTCTTAGGTTCCCGGATGCTTTTCCCCATGACATCTCGGAAAGCGCGACGTCAGTATCGGTTCGCCCTCACCTCTTTAGGCAAGGTACTCTGTCTCGCTTGACACAGAACTGCGTATCGAGGAACACGGCCGAAAATGGAGATGATGCATGCAATGCGAAACTGGTGGCGGACGGCGGGTAGCGGATGGCCATCTATATCTTGCTTTGATCAACACTGTCGCTGCATGCTGTGGTAAGGTGAACCATGGGACGGAACGAACTGATGAAGCGGATACCTTGCATATCTTGACTTACCTTACCTGTCCTTCCGCTACGTTCCTCACCGTATGTATACAACTCGTCACCATGCTCTTACTTCAACTTCCCCCCCCCCCCCCCCCCCCCCCCCCCCCCCTTTACCTCATCTTTTCTCTCTGGCTGAAATCGTCTGCGCAGCTCAGCGACCTGGTCTAGCCAACCGCATTGTTAACCCAGGATGAATCCTCGTCACCAGGTCCAGAGCAATCGGGACCAGCACAGCAGTGCTTGCCTTAGCGTCGCGTACCACCGCTTTGGTCCTCACCCAGTCGACTTGGAAATCGAGCCTGGCTGACCTGCGTTAGGTTGTGCTGTGCTGTGCCAAGGGCTGAGCTGGCTCGCCGGTCGTCTCGCTCATCATGGACACACACCCTCTGGGGCGTCTGGTCCTCGGCCTCGTACGTAGCCCTGGACAATGGACGCACCCCAGCAATGATCCCTGAGGCGTCCCATAACCCGGCCGCCCGCCCTTAACAGCCCCCTGCCATGCTTCCGTGGGCGACGGGGGGGCGTTTTGGTGTCTGAATGTGGCTAGTTGCGCTCCGGACGGGTCGGGCGCGTGCCAGGCCATGCGATTCCTGTCACCCCAATCCACCATTCCGCGGCACAAAACCGAGCGCCGTGACCCTGATGAGAATAGTGAGGATGGGTGTGGATGGTTGGATAGCAGTGTGGCGCACGGCTTGAGCTCAAGTACATCCCAGCCAGTATTCGTCCAGTGTGTCCGTGATGCGTGGTGTGCTATGTAGTATAGCGAGCGCCATTATATCTTCATGTCTGCTAAAAGCAGAGAGACAGCAACGGCGAGAGCTGTGTCCTTGTCGTCCCGCGAACTTTCATGATCCTTGGATTCTTGAGAGTGCCATGTCGCGTCGTGTTCAGTAAGGGGGGATACTGAAGCTTGTTAATGATGGGAGTGTCAGTTGTCCTTCCTCCCCTCCAATGGTTAGCATTCACACCCCTATTTTTCCGACTCTTCCCCCCCTTTTCCTTCTCTCTCACTCTTGTCTCTCACGTCCTCGGCCACTAAAAATATGTCTTGTATTGAGATGGCGACACGACCCATCTGGATTCCTCGTCTCTTCCGTGTCAGACGAGATGAGGGTACTATACAATGGTGCATATCTCATGGGTCCGAGAAATTCCCTAAAATTGGACAGAGACAAATGATAGGGCTGGACGTTGGACTTGGTCTCCTTGGGTTTAATCGGTCGACGAGCAATCGCCTTCTGGACTCGTGTCGTCGAGACACACACGAGAGAAAGAGAGAGAGAGTTAGACGCTTCGATGGATGCGAATGAAAACAAGGTGGCTGACAAGAAGTGTGTGCTGTATCTCGTAGCGAAGTTGTAGTGGTGAGTGACATGGGACTGGGATTTTCGAGCGTTGCTTACATAGCTCCAGGTCTCCCTCCCCGTTCCCTACCTGTCTATTCGTGATAGGGCAGCTAAGTGGCACTTGCATTCCGTCACTTAGCAGTAATGTGTAAGAATACGTAAATATGGAGACGGGAATAGCTATGCGGCCGAAGGAGCGATATACGTACCTCCTTCCCAGTTCGGAATGCTTTCGTTTTTGGGAGGGGGAGGGGGAGGGTTTTTTTTTTTTTTGGCGGGGGTGCTTTTTGTGGGCTCTTGTGCGCGTGCGCCTTTGGTGCTAACAGCAACAGCAAGCGCAGCTCGACATGGTCAACGATGACAGCGAAGCAATAACAACGGACAAAACGAAGCAGAGGCAGAGACAGAGGCCGAGATGCGGCAACGAAAGGAATCGCATCCACTGCATCTCAACTGATCTGTCCCGCACTTCTAGCAATGGAACCGGCCGCCACCGAGACACAGCACAGCAACACGATTCGCACCACTAACACCATACCGCACCGGCGCCGTGGGCCTCTTCATGTCGCCCCTCCCCACCCCACAGCTCGTGACCATGTCGAGGGCGTGGAAGTGGGCGTGGACGTGGACTTTGCGGTGCTCCTGCTTTGCCCTGCTTCGGGCTCAACGTTGGCTGGTTGCCGGTTGCCATGCTGTGCTGTGCTGTGCTGTGCTGCGTTGCTGGCCGGCTGCTTGGGGTGTGTCGGTCCCCCTTGACCTGTCGTCTCCCCCTCCACTCCCACCTCACCTCCCCCCCTCGTCGATTCCCTCCCCCTCCCTCCCTCCCCACTAGCAGCTCACACATCCCTCCCTTGCTCATTCTGATGGAGCATGTCGGGACGGGTCCTTTTTCGCTGTTCTGGGGGCCCGGTGAACAAACAATGGAGCCCGTTCCAGTTCCCTAATCCCTCTCTAGATGTGTGCATTGCGCAGTCCTCCCATCCATCATAGCGAATGGCTCCGGGTGGGACCCACTCTGGGCCACTAGGAGACAGGTGTACCTCGCAAGTGTCCCTGATATGCTTGTCCGCCGCTTCTATTGCACTGCTTGCCTTAGGTACATCCTCCTGGCCTACCTGACTTGACCTCACCTCACCTTGGACAGGGCGGTACCTCAGGTAGGGCGGTGGAACTCCCGTCAAGTACGTACCCCTCCAAGTACTCGCTGCCGTCCGCCTGTTTCCCACTTCCTTACAGTGAACGGCAGAAGAGGGAGAGAAACGGAGGGGGAGTGGTACCTCGTCCAAAGTACCTCGTTCCCAGCTCCCGGCCAGCGTGGTCTTCCTCCCCCCCTCTCTACTGCCCCCTCCCCTCTTCTGCTCTCTCTCTCTCTCTCGTGCTCTCTTGCTGTCTTCCTCCCCCCCTTCCCCCTCCTGTCCCAGCATGTCTACCCCCTCCAATACACCCAAGAGTACTTCCCACTGTCGCAGTTCAGTGTCCCCACCGTTCTCACCAAAGACGCCTCTTTTCCTCCTCCTCTCCCCTCCTACTTTTTCCTCGACTTCCCCTCTTCCGTTCTTCCCTCCCACTTTCGTGATCATCATCCATCTCCAAGACTCAACTCAACGCGCGCAGTCTTCGCCCTCCCCGGCCCATCATCACCACTCCAGCGCGCCTGTCGCCTCTAGACACGCCGCCTTTCAACACTGGCTTTAAGCCAGCTTTCCCCCCTCAACCACTCACACGTCCTTCCTATGACCAGAATATCGAACCAAATGACCAGCAACATCCACCAGTCTAATCAAGACACACTTTAAACCCCACGGGAGCGCGCCGAGCGAGGAGGAAACCCTAGGAGCCAGGCGATTTCAACCATCGTTTTCAATTCGAAGAGAGCCGCAGTGCAGATCAAGCCGCCCGCCCATCGTCCTTGTCGCCAAACCTCGCTGTGGTCGCCCGTCGCAGTCGCCGGCCCAGCCCACCCGACAACACCCTCCAGAAAAAATCCGCGACCACGACGCGACCCTTCAAGATGCCCGGCGCAAGCGTTGCGGTCCTTCCCACGTCCGCTTCATCAACACCGGCCTCACGCAAGGCCTCACTCGCCCCGGAACGCAAATACAAGTGCCAGTTCTGCAACCGAGCCTTTAGCAGAAGTGAGCATCGCAGCAGACATGAGCGATCCCGTAAGTCGTCTCTTTCCCGAACCCCTCTCCTCCCCTCCCCCTCCTACATCCCAAAGCTTCCGCTCGACTGGGAACCCCTCGCAACGGTCGCCAACCCCTCCTTGCACCTATTCATCGATGCGATCCATCATGCAACAACATGCAGGATTGGAAAAAACTTTCCATCAACTCGAAGTTCAATGTGTTGACTCTTCATAGATACCAAGGAGCGCCCCTTCAAGTGCATGAAGTGCCGTAGCACCTTTGTCAGACGCGACCTTCTCCTTCGACACGATCGCACCGTCCATGCCAAGGATGGAGGTGTGCCTCTTCACAGTGATGGTAAAAGACGTTCAGGTCCCAAGACACGAGCCATCGGCGGTCCGGCCAAGACACCCATGCTCGACCAGTCCGCATTAGATCAGATCGAGGCCGCTTCTCACGACGGCACCTTCGACATCGAGACCGCTGCAATGCTTGTCGCCGACTTCCAACACAAGGCCGCCGCTGGCGCACGCTCAGGAGGCAGCCCCTCGATGCCCTACTCGCCGCATGCTATGGAGCCTACCGTCACGTATCCTTCAGGCGCCATCCCCGTGCCTCAGTGGGAGAGCTTCATGTCTCAATCATCCGAAGCCAAGGCCCATTCCATCGCATCATCGGCATCCGGCTCCTTCGAGTCTCAGCAGTCCTTCAACAGCACAAGCACCATGCAGCCTCACAACGTTCAGCTCCCGCCTATCAACGGCCAGACGTGCAACGGCCTCGTCCCAGCACTCCAGTCCATGATCAACTCCTTGCCGAACTCTGGAACTGGTACGCCTGTTCCGCAGAGTCCCTTTGTTACGGAGGCGACGTTGTCTGCCGCTGGCTTCCGGGCTCCCCAGGTTGTGAACGACGATGAGCGAAACCAGATTCTCGACAACATTCGTGCTCAAGACACCGAGCATGCTATTCCTGAGGGTTTTCGCCTTCCCAACCTGGCCTCGCTGAACCGATTCCTGTCCACATACTTCGGGCTCTTCCATCACCACCTCCCGTTCCTGCATCCTGCCTCCTTTGACTCGACCAAAGTGTCTCCTGCTCTGCTCCTCGCAGTCCTCAGCATCGGAGCACTATATGCGTTTGACCAGGATCAGGCCTACATGCTTCACATCGGGTCCAAGGTGCTGGTCAACCAGTTCCTGCAGAACAAGGAGAACTTCAGCTCTCGCAAGTGCCCGCTATGGACGATGCAAGGTTCGCTCCTAAACATGATCTTCGCCAGCTGGAGCGGTGACCCGAAGGGACTCGAGTGGGCTTGCTCCATCAAGAGTTTGCTCGCCAACATGGTGGCTGGAAACCGGTACGAGCTCAAGCTTCGCCAGGAGGCTCGCTCAGGCGCCCACCCCACTCGCAGCGAGTGGATTGAAGACGAGGGTTGCCGACGCACCTACTACGCCGTCTACATCTTTTTCGGCTTGCTCACCCTGACATACAACCACACGCCGGCAATCAGCTTCAACGAGTTTGAGGACCTGCAGCTTCCTTCCACGGAGGCGCTCTGGAACCTCAAGGTTGCGGACGAAGCTGCTTGGCACGAACATTTGAAGGCATCGCCTGTGGTTACTTTCATGGAGGCGCACGACAACCTGTTCCAGGGAGAGACACTTCGGTACAGCGCGTTTGCGTCGAGGGTTATGATTAACGCTCTATTCCTTGAAGTTTGGTATCATAAGCGCAGCCCCGAGGCACTTCAAGACGTTGTGACCGAATACAAGCTCAGACTCGCCCTCGAGACATGGGAGAAATCCTGCGAGCTTTGCGAGCCTGAGAGCGTCGCGGTCCCGTTGAGTGCTCCTCACAAGGGACACCCCCTCATCTTCAACGCCAAGGCTATGTACCGGAACGCGCGGGCCCGTCTGGAAGTCGATCTGAAATCCGTGCAAGAGGCATTGCGCTACCACGATTCCTATGAGGTTGCAGCTGCCATGTCGAACGCGCGGGATCGCGTCAAGCGCTCGAGCGAGATGATCAAGGTGATCCAGGAGTGCTACAACTGCATTGAGATTGCCGTGGTACAGGGTGTACGCTGGGTTGCGCGTACTTCGCCGACGAACTGGAGCGTTGAGCACGCCTTGTGTGGTCTTGACCTGATGATTGTCCTTTCGCTCTGGCTCTACCGTCTGGAACATGACGAGGAGCAGGCTACAGAGGAAGAACTGGCCATGTACAACAAGGTTCGGCTGCTTTTCGACAAGGACCTCGACGAGGCGTACGCTACCCAGCTCAGCTCTGTTGTTGCCCGGCTGTGGGGCAGCATGCTAGACGAGGTCGTGGTTTGGGGGTAAGTCACTACTTCAATCATCGCTTGGGAAAGACATGCTAACATAATTGTAGAATCACCAGACTCATGGGTGAATCCTTCCGTCTCCATGCGCAAGCACTGGTCGGCTATGTCGACGACATGGAAGCATCCTCGAGCGTTTCGACCCCTTCAATGATTTCTCAGGGGGCCGACGAGGACAGCGTGTACTAGTTTCGAGATGACTGAACGATTTCCTATGTTTCCTTTCTTTTTATTTCCTTGGGCTCTGTCTCCTTGGCATATACCTCTTCGTCTGGCGGATGAATTTCTGGCGTAACGGATTTGGAGTGGTTCATCGAACACTCCCTCTCGGTCTGAGGCTTTTTCCCCTTACTTGGCAGGGGAACAGGCGTCACAGATGAGAGGTTTTTGATTTCAGGACGGTCATTGCGCATCACATCCCAGCCTGCTCAGCTGGGGCTTTGTTATATGTTTCTTTGGCTTGGTTTCCTTTTCGAGCGTCCCAGCATTGGACTTGGTCATGGGCAATAATGGGGCCGGTTACACGGGGGATGGTTGGGAGGCATGGGGTTCGGCACGGATTCCTGGGTAAAGCATACCTGGGGGATTGGGATAATTCGGGCCCTGCTCTAGCATCCCAGAGACTGCCTCAGGGCACTGATGGCTGGTCCAGGGTGGGGTTGGTGATTGCTTGTTGCGTTTCGATCTATTAGCTTCATACTAATGTTTTGTGCTGCTGATATCCATTTCCTATTTCTCTTCTCCTTTATCCTTTTTTTCCTCCACTCAATTGGCTTTTTCTTGTTGATCTCTTCTCTCCTATAGTTTCGTTGTCTTATTGCGCGTTTCCGAGTTTTTCTTCGTTTCGCTTTGCTCAGATACCTTGTTCGATAAACAGATTGCAGTACCTGCGCTCCTTGGAATTTTTGCGTCATCTGCTTTGATTTGATCTTGTCTCTGCTCTGGAACGCAGTCTCAGCATGAGTGGAATGTATGGGACGAAATATGGCGGTAGCTGGCCAAGAGGGCAATTCCCCTACTTGGGTTATTCCCAAGGCCTGGCTTGATCAGATGAAAATGGGCGTGGAAGAGAGACGGCTTCTTGAGCACATGTGTATAGATAGTTTCCTAGGAGTTGACCAGCATTGAAATATCACTTCTCCTCATTGGCATCACGCTTACTGGCCTTGCCTCGTTCAACACGCGTAACCTAGCCATACCGACCTGCATTTCATAAGTCAACACGTGTCGAGACTATGTACACCGACACCAACATGATATCGGGCATACCACAAGTGGCAGCCTTGTCGTCGGACCAATTATCAAGCCAGACGACAAAGAGCCAGAGGTCGTTGGGATGACAAAGAAAGAATGAGGTGAGGTGGAAGAAATGGCGCTTGCGCTAATGGGTGGCTTGGGGCTGTTGGAAGATGAGCGAGCGTATCATGAGAAGCCAGCGTAGCCGTGCGTTTCATGTTAGAGCAACGGACGAGGTGCCAGATGAAGCCTTGCGGTGGTTCGAATGACTGGCTGTTGATGGATATCTAGCGACTCGTAGAGAATAGTGGAGGCGGTCCGGAACATAACTGTCTGCTGCGCTGAGCGGTCCTTACACGAGGGAGTCAGGCATTTCAGAGATGCCTTGGTCTCTCCAGGATCAACGCGGCATGTTGTATTTGCCCTTTGATAGCTTGCACAGGACCCGGATGAAGATGGATTGCCTCGACTGAAGGATCGACAATGCTCCCGTCAGGTCAGGTGAGGCAAAAACCGGTCAGGCTAGGTAAAGCACAGCGATGCGCCCAAGTGATGCTGGTTTTGTACATGAAGCAAAACCGCCTCAACGACCAGAGCCACACTGTAACCCCAGGCAGGCGCTCCAAGCATCGAGGCACCCAACGGGGAGGGGCGTTTTGTTGGTGAGACGAAGCCGTTCTGCTCAAGGTGGGGGACCAACCACTGGAGGAAGCTCTTTTTCATTGTTCTTGTCTTTGAGGCAAACAGACCCCTCGGCGGTTTGCCTAAACTAGTGGCTTTAACACTCCCTCTGCCTCTTCAAACCTCGATCAAAAGAGGAACAGCGGCCAGAGGGACAAGCAGAGTCTCAACCATCGGACCCGGTTCGCGCTCGAGCCCACCACTCTTTGGCGGTCCTCCTCGTCCAATCCCGTGCTGGAGTCCCGCGGGTTCCTGCAGGGAAAACACCACCACCCACCAAACTCGACACAATGTAAGACGACTCGTGGTTGTCCACCGCCACCCACCCCAAGCCAGCCCGAGCAGACTGGTGGCCCAGCTGGGGACACGCTCGCCCGTTTCTTCCGCTGCTCTTCTTTGTCCCGAGACGGCCCAGCTGAGTCCGTTTCACGATCGCTTGTGGCACCGTTGGAAAATGGAGGGGGAAGCCACTCTCAAGCCTTGCCACGAGACAAAACAGTCACGCGGCAGCAGAGCGAAGCTGTTTGACCTTTCAATTTCACCATCGACTTATCCCCATCGGAGCGACGGTTGGTAAAGAGGCCGTTGTATCGAACGTCCAACGTTGGAGAGAAGCCTTTGTCTGCACATTGTGGACTTCTCGTCTTCCTTTGACACCTCATTACTCTCGAGTCCGTCCATGGACCGAGCTGCAGAAAGGCGGCAAGTGCAATGGTAGTGCCTACGGGATAGATGGAGGTGGAGGGTTGTATTTCTCGTCTCTCGATGAGTACTCCAACCACGAGGGCAAGGCACTATGGGTAACACAGCATGTTGCTTTCCCCCCCTCGCCGACTGCATGGATGTGACTCGAGTTTACTACATAGTACACCCGCGACCCCTCCGTCCCCTCCCTCACTCTCGTTTCCATTCATAGGTTCGTCATTGTTGCTTACATCTTGCGTATTTACGCTTTTCTCCTGCTCATTATACACTTCTGCGTCCGAGCGCCAACCTTGATTTTGTTCATATCCCGTCATCCCATTTCTTCACCTGCACGCCTGGACTGGCGGCATGCGTGCTCGTGCTTAGACTCGCTTTGTTTCTTCTGTCAAAACATCGGATGCTTGTACTACTCTGGCAGTAATACAACCACTCGCGACCTCACATCACTTACACGAACAGCGACCGCCTCCCTCACGCATCCCCGTACATATCCACCACACATACGTACACGTACATCATCATGAGGAGTGTTGCAACAAGGTGCCTTCTGGCACTCTATCTCCTCCCTGACATCACCCGTGCAGCCTGCGAGTGCGGATACTCCGCCAACATCACAGGCACCGTCGAGGCCTTCACTGACTTGATCGAGACCGACTTCACCAAGGTCATGGACATCAAGAACAACACGGACTGGGTCCGTCAAGAGTTCAACAAGACCAACAGCAATGCGAGGGGACCCCTGGGGGAGAAATTCCAGACGACCAACATCGCCGCCGTTCACGAGGGTTCGAGCTCCTACGGACTGAGCTCCACAAAGACCGCCGCGGGACTGCAGCTGCTGGTCGAGAGCTCCACAATAGACGGACTGGTGCCGGGCGCGGAGATCGACTCAGCACGGAATGATGTGCACTATGGTTCGTTCCGAGCGATGATGAAGGTGCCGGATGTTGCTGGGACGTGTGCCGCCTTCTTCTGGGTACGGAACCACTTAACCACTTACACGCGCAGGCGCCTTGGAGACAGAACATTAACATTGAACAGTACCACAACGACACGCAGGAAATCGACATGGAGTTCCTCACGAGAGAGTTCAGCCCCTCCAACAACAGCTTCCCCGTCAACCTCGTCCTGCACTCACGCGAGTCGCTGGAAAAGGGCTACGACGCCTCCGGCACAGGTAACTTCCTCAAGGTCAACCTGGGCTTCAACCCGACGACCGACTTTCATGAGTACCGCATCGACTACCTCCCCAACGAAGTGACCTTCTACGCCGACGGCAAGGTTCTGGGTGCCATGAACGGCAGCGCCGTGCCCACCGAGGGCGGTCATCTGATCCTGCAACACTGGAGCAATGGCAACCCGTTGTGGTCGGGAGGGCCGCCCCAGAGGGACGCCATCCTGACGGTGGCGTCCGTCAAGGCCTACTTCAACTCGTCACTTGACGCGCGCAAGGCCGACCACGAGAGCCGGTGCATCGATCCCGCGGCGCCGGGTGCCGTGTGTGCCATCCCGGACGACCCTGCCTTCTTCTTCAGCACGCAGGCCAACATGACGAACAATCAGACCGTGTCCGGGATGCCGGCCGCCGAACACAGCATTGCCGGGACGGTGGACGCGCCGTCGTGGGTGTTGGTTTTCGGGATGTTGTTTCTGGGTGTTTGGTTTATCTGATGTTTTGTTGTTTTCCCAGCAGCATGGTTCATGGCGTATGCGTGTTTCTTTGTATACTTCTTTTTGGTCCCTTATACCATCACAGCGGGAGGTGTCTCTGAGGCAGTTGTGACACAAAGGCGGAAGAAAGCATGGTGGACGGAGTTGGGGGGTTTGGCAGGCCGCCGCCGTATGAATTTGCGTTTGATTTATTACGTGACAATGTCTTTTCTTACACTTACGATTCCCCACGAATGATATCCAATAATCTTCTTTCAATTTCATCACCAGTCAAAACTAGTCTCGAGTTGTGTCATGAGACGGCGTGAATTGTCAACTGCTTAACCTCTCGAGCTGGGAGTCGTTCCCATGATGGAGCTGGAGCCATCGTGACGGGCCGTCTAGCAAGCCAACTCCCCTCTTCACGTTCATTGGGTGTTTTCTCCATTTAGCAACCGCTTCAGGAGTCAGATAAGTCATGACGGCCTCAAGCCAGCCGGGTGCAAGCCCGAGGTGTGTACCGAGATTACTCCGCACTAACAAACCAGTAAGCCAGCAAGAGGCTAACCCAGCTCCAAAATCCATCACGAGACCAGACTTTGACAATCAGCTTGTCTTGAGCTCCCTCCCCTAAGGAAAGTCAGACACCTCCAACCAACGGTTCCCCAAGTTTCTCGTTGGTTGCGGGGAATCAGCAGCCCACGTATGCATATATGCATGCACCTCATATCCCTATGTAAGAGCACATGGCCGCTGAGGGATCGACAAATACTAGGTAGCCTCTTGCCAATACGCTTTGGGTATATTGGCTACCGCAGAGTATTCGTAGCGTTGCAGTGCACCTACATGGCTCTGTTCATTCATGCCAGGCGTGTGATCCAACCGAAACCCCAACTACCGGGCCTTTTCTGCAGACAAGAAGCATACCGCGGCCGAGACAACGTTCTACCCCGGATTTCCTGTCGTGACTGCAAGATCATGCAGGTAGCTTGGCCTACTCTCGAACAGGACTGAGGAGCGAATGCACATTGAGACAACTGCCCCGCCGCTGAGCTTCACCCTCTGGTACGGGAGAGAAGACTCGCGCTGCGTTCTTATACCCCCCCAGTCGCCAAAATTCAACGCGCAGCACCTTGCCGACACGTATGACCCATGGCGCCCGGCGAGTCTTTGCCTTATTGGGCTTGCCGGCCGGAGTCGTTAGTCGTCAGTCGTTCGTCGTCAGATGGAGCTCATTCTCGACACAAAAAACCGGGCAAGAAGAGACGGGCTCGTTGGCAAAGTGTGGGCCACCACTAGTCCTGCATTATCCTTGTCGCCCATTCCGTCATCCCGCGAGGGAGGGAGACTCCGGCACATCACACACTTGCGCGTCCCATTCACCTTGTGGTCATATTGGTTGCCAGCAATATGCGTGTCACCAGCTTGGAAGTTGGTGGTGGGAGGAGGGAGGGTTCCCAAAGAAATGCTGCACATGGCCGCCCCGGTCAGTTGCGCTTATTCGGTTCGCCGGTGCCTGTCTCTCCTCGCCTTCGTACTCTTTGAGGACATGAGATGAACGCCGGCTCGATAAAAGGCCCAAGCCGTCTCCTCGGGAACCAGCGATGACCCTGAAAGTAGACAGTAGACAACAGCATAAACGCACCTGGACCCCACCACACTTATCATACACTTACAAGTTATCTCCCGACAAGAGACGCCATGACGAGACCTACGCTCGACATCGTCCTCGAAAACAACACGGGCTCCTCCAACGCCTTCGCCCACGTAACCGGCCTGGACCTCAACCGGAACAACGCCGTCTTCCTTCTCCAGGCTGACGGCGTCACGGGTTACTACCCGGCCTCGCCCTCGGACATCCTCCAGCCGCTGCAGTCCGACTGCGCCATCCCGCTCGGCGCGCCGGGTTCGACGCGGAAGCTGACGATCCCCCAGATCGCCGGCGGCCGCATTTGGTTCTCTCGGGATGGCCCGTTGAAGTTCCTCCTGAACCCGGGCCCGGCCGTGGTGGAGCCTTCGGCCACCAATACCGCCGACCCCAACTACAACCTCAACTGGGGCTTTTGCGAGTTTACCTTCAACAGCTTCCAGGTCTTCGTCAACATCTCGTACGTCGACTTCGTCAGTGTCCCCGTCTCCTTGACCCTCGAGAACGACGCCGGCAAGGTCACCACCGTGCCCGGCTTCCCGTCCAACGCCCTCGACACCATTTGCGACCGCCTCCGTGCCCAGGACGCCGCCGACGGCGCCGGCTGGTCAAAGCTCGTCGTGCGCACGCCCGACGGCTCGGCGAACCTGCGCGCCCTTAGCCCTAACTCGGGCATCGTCATGCAGCCGGACCTGTTCCAGGGGTACTACCAACCCTATGTCGACGCCGTTTGGGACAAGTACTGCGGCGCCGACCTTACAGTCAACACGCAGGCCGAGTGGGGCGACGTCAAGGGCCGTGTGGGCTCCGACAATCTCCTGTCGTTTGGCGACGTCGGGTCGTTTGCCCAGCCGAGTGCGCGAGACATCTTCAGCTGCAGCACGGGGCCGTTCGGCGGGTACCCCAAGAACCAGGCGGAGATGGGCGCCATCGGCGCGCGCATCGCTGCGGCCTTTAACCGGTCGACGCTGCTCATCAACGACCAGCAGCCCGAGGGGGAGAGCGTGGGCAAGTATTACAAGGATGCGCGGACGAACCACTACTCGCGCATCTGTCACGAGGTCAGCCCCGACGGCCGCGGATATGCGTTCCCCTACGACGACGTGGGCCCAGCGAACGGTCCGGACCAGTCCGGGTCGCTTTTCGACTCCAACCCGAAGCTTCTGACGATTGGCATTGGCGGAGAGAACGCGGCTGCGGTGCAGGAGGAGCTATAGGTGGGCCGTACATGTGGACGATGTCAAGCCTTAGGAGTATGGGGTTGTGTAGTAATTGTTGGCCAACCCCCTCCTCTATTGTGCATTAGGTGAGGGCCAGGTAGTCTCGAGCATGGTCGTTGACGCAAGCCGAACAACTTGGATTGGCATAGGTAGATACCAAGAGGTGCGCGAACAAATCTGCTACTGATATACATCCATCTTACTTACCACTTTGTGTGTTGAGACCCACGAGTGGATGCGCCGAGGGAAGGCTTCTTGCGTGTCTGTTTGTGGCTTTCAGTCAAGATGCTGGTTCGCAGAATCCAGGCGCGGCAGTGTCTTCGCGCCAGGACGCATGCCTAGTTGCCAATTGTCTCAGTCAATCCAGGCCCACCATTGCTTTTTCCCCTCACAGCGGTCCAATCCCCCAAAAGGGAACAAACATATGCAGGTAGATATTAGACTCGGACCCGGTCATCGGTGATGAGGCCTCCATTCTCGTCTAGTAGGAACAACACCAGACGGCAGGAGACCTTTATGTCTCCTCTGTAGTTACACTTGTGACGGCACGGACGGCACAAGGCTCGGCCAAGGTGTACTACGATCCCAATCCCTTCTCTCCCTCGAGCTGCAGACTGCGAGACAGGTTAGATCAGGTCTGCCAGACCACAATGTCCCATGGCACTGGGAACCGACCAGTTGCCTTCGGCTGAGACCGAAATGGAAATAGACAGGCGTGCAGGCTACCTGTGCTTTTGCCGCCGACTCACCGGCAATGGTGGATTAGTGGGAACGGGATTGGGAGAGCATCCAAAGGAATTGGGCGGACGGGCTGGTTGGCTGGCGGGCAGGGTAGGACCAGAGAAACGAGCTAAAATGCGATCCTGGATCAGCTGTGATGGGAAGAGCCCAACCAATGCACGACTGCTGCAGCCATTCCCGTCGTCGGAGGATCGCCTTCCCGAAAGCCAACGTCGTGATCCGGCGTGGCGTAGGTATATGCTGCGTGTGCCGTGGTACTGTGCATGGTGATGTGTCTGGCGTGGTTTCGGCAATGGCCATGATGGGCAATTAGACAGAAGCCAAGACATCAAAAAGGCGCAATCCGATCGGGGCGCGCCGTTGTTTGCTGCCGAGAGGGCGTTTCGTTTTGACTTTTGGGATTCGGGGAGAGCCCTGCACAACCGTTGGGGCCAGTGACGAAAAGACAATCAAAATCAATATCCATCAAACCTCGGCAGCCTCACTAGCCTCCAGTTCGGAGCTCATGAACTGTCCGTAACTGCAGTAGTGTGAGTAGCTCCCTTCCGAGGGTTCTAGGTAGTCCCGCGAACCCACCCCGGTCGGTCGTTTGTTCCGAAAGGGCCTAGATGAGCCCAAGATGTGCGCCAGGAGGCATGATGACAGATGCTGCTGCGTGCTGGTGTGCCGCTGGTGCTGCGGTCCTGCGGAGGCGATAACGCACACAATCCCGCTCCTCACTTCTCAAATCCTCGTCCTTTCCGCCCGCCTTTCCACTCAGGTGTGCCACTTACATATGCAACGTCCAATTGGAAACCCCAAATTGCCTCCCTCCTGATCGACAGATCAAGGAAATCTAGGTTCTTCCCACATACCAATCCGTCATCTCGCGGTCTCGACTCAACTGTAGAGGGCCGAGAGAGAGAGAGAGAGAGAGAGAGAGAGAGGGGAAAAAAAAGAAAAGAAGAAAAAAAGGCGCCGGGGTTTCGCTCCCACTCAGGAGGACGTGATTTTATCGAGCCGGACTGCCCGTTGGTTGCTTCCCAAATTAAATTCTACTTCCCACTCGTCTTGGCCTCACATCCCCCCCCCCCCCCCCCCCCCGCTCCGATCGCCGTTGCATCAACGGGCGAGATCCAGTGTCTTGATCTGATCTGATCATGGACACCCGCAGCAAGCCATCCATATCAGTACCCGGCTGGCTTCTAACACAGCTCTGTGATTCGAACCTTTTATTCTCTCTTTGTCGCCCCGCTGGCTATTCGGGAGCCATTTATCCGGCTGTTCAACATGGTGTACTGCGGTAAGCCCTCCAAAGGCTGTTCCAGTTGCCGTGAACGAAAAATTAGGGTAAGTCCACACATGGCTGCAAAAGGTCCTTGACTGGAGCGAGTCGCTGGCGTTTTCGGTTGACGTGTTTCCTGAGACATATGCAAGCAAGGCAGGCGGCATTCGGGTTCTTGGGCGCATACTTTGACCGTGGGCTAATGGTATTGTTGATAGTGTGACCAGAAAGAGCCTGGCTGTGGCCAGTGTGAGAAGCGCCAGCAGCAATGCCCTGGCTATCGAAACCTGGTTGACCTCATGTTTCGAGATGAGAGTTCCCATGTCATCAAGAAAGCCGCCAAAACAAAGGCTCGGGGGCGCTTGAAGAATGCGCAGGCTTCCAGCACTATCCACGACGCCGAGTCGTCCGAAAACGCACCAGCCAGCACCGGCAGCGACCCCGAAAGCTCCGATCCGAGTCCCAGACCGGTCGTCAAACCTGGTGTTCGTCGCCAATATCCATCTCGTCCTTTGGCGGTAGTGACTCAGAATGTGGCCATCAGGCACCGACCTCACCAGGCTCGATGGGCTTCTTCCTCCGAAAGCGATGAAGACGACAGCTTCTTGCCGTCTCCCGAGGAAGACGACTGGCCAACGACTCAGCAAGCAACGCCCTTGTACTCCTTGTCGCCCTCGTATCAAGAGCGTGGCACGGCCTTCTTCTTCTCCCGTTATGTCTCTGTCGACGAGAATGCCTGCCACCAAAATTATGACTTCGTATTCGATATCTGGCGTCCAGCTAGCATGTTGCCCGAGCGCCAGGTAGACGGTGTGATGGCCAGTATGACGGCTGTTGGTTTGGCTGGCCTCTCCCATCTCACAATGTGCCCTGAAATGATGGACTGGTCACGCAGAAGCTACGGCACCGCTCTACAAATGACCAACGATGCTTTAAGGAATCCTGCGGAGGCGGTTAAAGACACGACCATGTTGTCCATCCTTATCTTGGGCACATACGAGATGCTCAGTGGCCGCAGCAACCAGACGGTGAGGGCATGGCAAAACCATATCAACGGCGCATCTGCCCTCGCAAAAATGCGTGGCCTCAAGCAGTTCATGACGAGAGCGGGAGCCCGCATGTTTGTGATGCTGACACAGATCGTCCTCATCAACTGCATGCAAAAAGACATGCCTATGCCGCAGCCTCTGGTAGAGCTCCGGAACCAGCTGGGTATGCTGTCAGGAGGAACAGATCCGAACTGGCGATTATCAGGCCCTATTTACAAGGTCATGCAGTTGAGATACGACATCAACAGCGGTAAACTCAGCCAGACAGCTGATGTTATCGATCAGCTGTCAAAGGTTGATAAGGAATTTGCTGATGTCATTACTGAACTCCCGGAGTTCTGGAAGTACCGACCTGTGAGGCTCTCGAAACCCCGCCTAGCCGTGTTCGATGGTCACCATTGTGATGTGTATCCAACCCTGGGACTGGCAGCGACGTGGAACGGCGTTCGATCGATCAGAATGATGGTGCATGAGACTATCATTGGAGAGCTTTTCAAGTGCTTTCCCGACCACCACATCACGGCTTGGCCGTACGAGGCAAAGCTACAGCTGGCAAAGTCCGTTGAATTGTTGGAGAAACTCCGCGACAGAGTGATAGCGAGTGTTCCTCAGCATTTCGGCGTCGTCAACTTCAAAGATACCATGTCAGGAGGCGGTGACTCAACGACAGCCGTTATCATGGGGAAGAAGTCCCCAGTCCATATCGTGTTGTCTCCCACGACTTCCGCATCGTCCTCGCCGCCCTTGCCTGTGGACGATCCGAAACGGCGCCCGACAGTGTTCAACGGTCCAACTTTGCACGACCCGGCACATATGAAAGGCCGCAGCGACAATGCCGAGCGTTTTATGACTCTTGCATCTGCAAGCAATACCATTGTATGGCCGCTGTACCTGGTGGGCGTATCGTCGTGCGGCACGGAGGAAGTCAAGAAGTATGTCGTCGAACGGTTACAAGCAATCCTTGAGGAGTCGGGGCTGCTGCAAGCTCGTGGAGTAGCACTCATGGTGCAAAAAAAGGAGGTGTGCATTCCATGGTCTGACGTGCCCTGGGATCGAATGCCACAGACACAGGTCCCATCGGACTTGTTTGTGTGAAGGCCTTACCGAGCCTGTGTAAAGCCGGGGTGGCAGTCTGTCGCCTATATGTATCAGTAGATATTTACATAATACTCATCATGCCCCCTGGCTACTTTTGGCACTGCAAGACGAAGTTGTAAGGGGTATCATATTTATTTTCCGTCTGTGATCCCGGGACAGTCGCACCTTCGAGCCGGGCCGCAAGGCATCACCAGCTGTCGAAGTTACCGAAGCCACCGCCCTTGACTTTCTTCTTGGCTGGTTCTTCCCAGGTATCAAGGTCTGCATCCGCAGCTGTCGCGGAATTCTTCTGCGACTTGAGATACTTGCCTACACCGGCACCTGTGCTTCCGCTATCCACAGTGCCGTCAGCTCGAATCCGCTTGCCGGTCCAGGTTGTCTTGTCGTCTTCTGTACCGCCACTCAGCGCTATCGCCTGCTTGGTCTTTTCCAGTTTGTCGATCTCGGTCTTCTCTTTCAGGAACTCTTCGAAAGGATCCAGATACACCACCACTTCTTTCATCACAATCTTGTTGAGCGGTCGGTCGGATCCGTCGGTGGGGACATCTTCCATCTTTGACAGCACGTCCAAGCCGCCAACGACCTTACCAAAAACCGTGTGTTTGTTATCCAAATGCTTTGTCGGCCGGTAAATAATGAAGAACTGACTCGAATTGGTGTTCTTTCCTTTGTTGGCCATACTGATGATACCTCGACTATCGTGCGTCAAGGGTCCATCAAACTCGTCTTGGAAGTTTTTCCCCCAAACGCTGGTGCCGCCTTTGCCCGTACCCGAAGGGTCGCCTCCTTGGAGCATAAAGTTTCTGATGTTCCTGTGGAAGGTAACGCCCCTATAGTAGCCTTTCTGGGCCAGCCTTGTGAAGTTCCACACCGCACGAGGCGCATACTCTGGGTAGAGCTCAATGTTCAAGTCCCCGAGATTCGTTTCAATGCGGGCATAGCCCTTGATCTTGACTCGCTTCGGCTTGAGCATATACTCTTCGTCCGTCAAAAGCGCTCTTTCGCCACTCGTCTCGGGCGTGAGTCCTGTGCTGGTAAAACTGGCGGCTGCTCTGCCGGTTGTGTAGACAGCGGCATTGGATGGGACCTTTTTTTCCATAATCATGGAGTTGCGCTGTGCCGCCGATCCGGATTTGACAATGGCGCCCGATGTGCGATTCACATCGCCGCCTTCTCCGCGCTCCTTGCGGGCTTTCTCGACGGCTTCCTTCGCCCTCAGAACCTTGTCACCTATGCGACCCAGCGCGTCGATGTTGACATTGCCGTTCTTCCGCTCCTCCTCCTGCTCCTTGGTTAGGATAGCCTCCTCGCCATCCTTGAGAAACTTGAACTGGCTCAAGTCCCTGCTGGCAGCGTTTTGGGGATCCTGCAGAGTGATGATATCGGCCCTCGTGAATTCCTCGTCGTCGACCAAGTCTCGCCAGTTTTTCGCCTTGATATTCATTCGCTCAACCGTTTCCCAGGCGAAGACGTTCGCGTAGCTCCCGTGTCGAACCGCCACGATGTGAGTGTTGTCCGTAAAGACCTTGAAGGTGACAGGATCGATCAAATCGCCCTGGCCGTCGCTTAGGCCTGCGCTTCTCGAGTCGGTTTCGGCATTTCTGGCGAAGTTTAGTTTGATCAAGTCTTTGGCGCCGAGTGGCTCGCCGTTGACCGGATTCGTGTCATGTTTGTCCAGCCAGGAACTGATGACCTCGACGTCAAAAATGGTCCCGTCCTTGGTGCATACGGGGTTCTTGAACGGCTGGAGACTGGCGGCGCAAAAATTGAAGGGGAGGCGGCGGAACGAGCCCGGACGCGAGCGCCCGTTAACATTGGCACCAGCGCTGGCAGAGTAGGCGTCTGAGGACGACCACTCGGAGTGGGTGATGTAGAGTTTGTCCGTGTTCTTGCCCATTGTTGTCGCGGCTGTGCTTGTTGTGAACAGATATTGACTGGGCTGGCTTGCGACAGGACAAGGTTTGGAAAGAGGTGGTCAAGGTAGAGACAGAGTCAGTGCGAACGCAGCCTTGCCATGTAACAAACGAATGCAAAGCTCGGCTACTATGTAAGGGCCGGAATCTTCTTTACCAGTTGCGTAACGCTGCAGGAAGCAAGACGTTCCTGGGCTACCGGTGTAGCGGCACCCTGAGAAAACGCCCAGGTGGGTTCCGCCACCAGCAGCTTTCCCGCGGGGTGGCTGCGGTGCGGCAACAGGGAAATTCCAGTAGAGAGCTGCGGCGTGTCCTCTCTACTGTTTGTCCCTGCGCGAGGTACATCAGCGCCGAATCCCTTAGCAAGGGAACGCCTTGACACCCTGCATTCACTAGCGGCTCAGCGGAGACTCGCTATGTACCAATACATAGCTATCGGCCAATAAACCCTCCCAAGCATCCAAGTTCCAGCAAGCGTACGTACCTCGGGAGCTTGGCACGTCCGTCCCTCACGCTGCCAGTTTCGCCAAAGGTCTGCCAGCCTGGCACTGACACGACAGACAGGCTTCAATTCGCTACCTGACAAGCTCCCATCGACACCGTCTTCGTGCAACGTATCCGACTTGGCCGGACTTGAATCCCACGATCTGCCAACACCAATCTACCAACGGCCAAAGTCGCATACCGTCATTCGATTCGGCATGCTCCCTGCGACCATCATCTCTGCAACATCGCCGTAGATACAGCAACCTCTCCGACCCTGAAACTTCGCGCCGATACTACGAAACGTCCAGCTCGTCCATCGGGTCACCAAGCTTAAAATCTCGCCGTCGGCCTCTACCTTGACTCCTCCACTAAATTCATCATCAAGATGAAGGCTGGGCTTTGGGCCACTGTCTTGGGCATGTCCCTATGGACAGCTGGTGCCCTGGAAGTGAAGATGGTAGGTTTTCAATGCCGCAATCAACGGCAATGACTTCCTGCTTGGGACCGGAGAGCTAACTCGAGCCTGATTTGTTTGGTAGGACCAAACCGACGAGAACAGACAGAGATGCTCAGGTGGGTAGCTCTCCTCCACAAGCCAAAGTCCGACTTCCTTTGCGACATGATACTGATACCGGCTGAATCCAGGCATGTACAGTCGCAGCGCCTGGGGCGGACCCGTCGACCCTTACATCAATGTCATGTTCCTCCCCAAAGAGGCGCCAGCCGACCAAGATCCTATCGTAAGCTTGGTCATATTCGAATGGAAGGACGAGGACTTGATCGGCGTCCGCGAAACCCCAGACGCTGAAAATGTGAGACGCCCTCTTGCGATCGGTTATTACTTTGTCCACACCAGACGACTAACTTTGGCCCTGCGCAGAAAATCGGCATCTGCCAGGACGCTTACGTCCAGAAGAACTACTGCAACGAGACGGACATTGGGAAGTTCATCATTGATCCGGATTCTACCACCAAGTCGAAGAACATGATCGAGACGAAGGCTATCCATCTCAAGGAGCCGCAGACGACCAAGTACATGATTCGAAAGACTGGCTACTACTGTGTCCTGACCGACAAGTTCTCTGCGGGCGAGTTCACTGCGGTTGTTGAGTTCCGTAATGCCTACGGCGAGCTGCCTGCGACGCAAATTCCGAAGCTGCCTTTCTATGGAGGAATCACTATCCTTTATGCACTAGTTGCCGTGTATGGGAACCCAATCACCTTTTGCGCCGCATTCAACCTTGCTGACCCTGCTTAGGTTCTGGGGGTTTTTGTACTATCAACACCGACATGATATTCGTAAGTCACGGTTTCAGGTTTAAAGACGCTCGACTAATCGTTCACAGTGCCGGTCCAAAACTACATCACGGCTATTCTCATCTTCCTGGTTGTCGAAATGCTGATGACTTGGGGATTCTATGGTAAGGCGATTTGAGTTGAGCTGGCTCTTGAATAGGTGACTGACACACACACAGACTACCTTAACAGGAACGGCGCAAACATTGGCTCCAAGGTGCTGCTGGTCATAGTAGCCATCTTGAATGCTGCTCGCAACTCCTTCTCATTCTTCCTGCTGCTCATTGTCTGCATGGGATACGGAGTCGTGAAGCATACGCTTGGGCGCACCATGATCTGGGTGCGCTGGCTCGCAATCGCTCACTTTGTTTTTGGACTCGTCTATGCAATCACAAGCTTGCTGATCACACCGGATGCCGCTGGTATGTTGCCCCAGACTAGACTTGGAATTGTTTATAAACTGACTTGCCCAGGCCCGTTTGTGCTACTGATTGTCCTCCCTCTTGCTGGCACCTTGACCGGTTTCTATGTGTGGACTCTAAACTCGTTGAACTTCACACTTAAGGACCTGCGCGAGCGCAAGCAGCATGCAAAGGAAGCCATGTACAGGAAGCTGTGGTGGTGCATTCTGATCAGCATTTTCGTCATCTTTGGCTTCTTCTTCTTCAACAGCTTCAGTTTCGCATCCGTCAACGACCCCGACTACGTCCCCTTTCACTGGAAGTCGAGATGGTTCATCCTTGACGGCTGGCTGAACCTTGTCTACTTCGCGGACGTGGCCTTCATCGCCTACGTCTGGAGACCCACCGCCAACAACAGACGCTTCGCAATGAGTGACGAGATCGCCCAGGATGACGACGGTACGTTCACGATGGCAGACATTGGAGCACCGGACGACTCGGACGATGACGAGGAGGCTCAGCTGGGCAAGGGTAACAACACGGGATCTCAGCCTGCAGGCCATGCTGCTCCCTCGGGTATGCCGGCGAGCAGCATGCCCCAGCAACAGCCGCAAAGACACGTCCCGCGCGAGTCTTTGGACGGCGAGACCATCTTCGCCGTTGGAGAAGATGGCGACAGATTCTCTGACGACTCTGATGAAGAAGACGCCAAGCTGGTAGGAAAGAAATAGAGAGGGGCTTTTTTGGGTTTTCGGTCATTGGGCAAAAAGCAGCAATCGTGTGATTGTAGTGTACAACATTATGCACTCCAGGGTGGGCGTTGGCGTCGTCCGCTCGGTCTCATCATTCAGGAGAGAAGGTTACTTTGTCATTTTAGAGACGGATGTCAAATCACATGATCGCTAGCAATGCGTCTTTTGTTACTACAGGGTAATGCAAGTGATGGTGTTCCACATCACGTCCGAGTGGTATCATTCAACAAGTGGGTTAAGAGTATTAGTACATACACAACGGCGTTGTTACACATCGCCACCAAAGCCCACAGGACGTCTCCGTCCGTCGTTCTCTGGCAGGATCGCCATAACCTTGTAGACCTTGCCCATTCCGCCGGGGCCGCGGTCGACGAGGCGCGTCCAGGCCCTCTCGATGTCCTTTGCCTTGTCGAGCTGTGCGTTCCGCTTGACCTGCTTGATGAGCACCTCGGCGCGCTCCTTGATGCCCATCTGGCCCAGGAACGCACCCTGGTCGACGGGGCCGTGAACCTCGACGCCCTCGCTCGCGCGCGTGGCAGCCTCGGCGATGGCGGTGAAGTCGACGTCGGCGCTCAGGTCCACGAGGCCCGGCTCGGAAAAGGGGCTGACGCGGCGGTGGCGGCGGATGCCACGCAGCGAGTTGATGGGGACGGTGTCGGAGGTGCCGTAGTCGAGGATCAGCGCGGCGCCCGTGGGTCGGGGCTTGGGGTGCTGCTTGGAGCCGCCGATGCGGCTGGCAAAGTCGGTGGCGTAGAGCGAGGCGTCTGGGCAGATTTCGGCCACGGCGTCCGGGACCGAGGCCTTGAGGCGGCGGTAGCGGGACGACGTCTCGGGGAGGTACCGCGAGTGGCGGGTGGGGCCCGATGAGAGCGTCATCTGGAAGTCGGGGATCGGATCGCCCTGTTCGGATTTGGGGATCTTCATGGTCGCGTGGGTTGCGTCTGGCGGGGTGGGGGAGACGAGCATCTCACGCCACTCGACCTTGGGCCCCTCGGGCTCACGAGGGTGCAAGGATCTGGTAGGAACAGGAGAGCCCGGTGCTGGCTCCTTGGGTGGTGAGGGTGGGACGGTCACGGCCTGGAAGGCGTGGATGGGGAGGGCGTCGAAGAACTCGTGTGCCACAATGAAGGGCATCTTCTCGGGGCCTGGGGAGGTGTGTTGTCAGTATCTCTGCCCTTATCCGCATAAGTCATGGCCATGCTCACTTTGCGGGATGGATTTAATGGTTTCCGTCCAGACTATTGGCAGGTTCGTGTACTTGCAAACGCTGTGGTAGCCGACCTTGGACTCGGTCATGGGCGCATCTGGACCACAGAGGAGGTTCTTCTGCGCCTCGCGGAGCTGAGGGCTCGCCTCAACCATGTAAATGGCGTCGATACTCTGCGCCAGGTCCTTGAAGTTCTGGATTGTCTGCATGGTATTAGCCCATCTATTCCCAGCACATGCGATTGTTACAGTTAAACCACTTACACGAAGCATATCATCCATCAGAGTGCCGCGTCCGGGGCCGACCTCAATGAGCTCGACCCCCTTCTTAGGTTTGCCCTGGCTTAGCCACTCCGCGACAAACCAGATGCCAATCAGCTCGCCGAAAATCTGGGATATCTCGGGCGACGTGACAAAGTCGCCCTTCAAACCGAACTGGTCTCTGTTCTCCTCGGCCAGACCCGTGTAGTAACCGTCGATATCGCCCGTTAGACACATGCGCATGTAGCTTGCAAGGGGAACGGGGCCTGTCATCTAATATGGCAAATGGTCAGGTGAGATATTCTCAGGATCAAGAGGCATGGCGCATACCGAGATGGCCTCGGCCAACTGTTTTGCCAGCGGCGTAGACCATTTCCTCTCTTCCTTCTTCTCCTTTTCTTCCTTCTCCTCGTCGCGCCTCGACACGGTCCACGAGAAGCTCCTCAAGGCCTGCGCCGCCAGAGGCCTTTGAACCGAACGGCGCACGGCGGCACGGGGTACGGTGACCCCTCGCAGGCCGGCCGCTATAGCTCCTCGAGGAAATAGACGTTGCATCTTATGCTTTTTCTTGTTCTTCTTGTTCTTCTTCTTCTACGAGCTTGGGGTTGTCCTCCTTCTCTTTCGTTTCTTACTCCGGGCGCAAACTCCCAGGCTTTTATGCACGTGTCGCCGGGACCATCGCGTGTTTCCTCGAAAAAGAGACGGGATCGTGTTCAGTAGCGCATGAGCATGTGGTGACGCCGCGGCATGTGCTTGCTTAGGTCGGGTAGGTAGGTTCGTTCGATTCGGTTTGGTTTGGTTTGGTTTGGTTTGGGGTCGCTCGTTGCGCTTCGTTTCGGCTCCGGGACGGGTCTTGCGTTTTCGACGAGACGGGCCGGCCGGGGCAAAAAAGTTACCAAAAGCTTGCAGCTTTGCTGGGTGCGATAAGATAACGACCCTCTCGCTCTAGGTGCAGCAGCTCTTAGAGTTTCCAAGTGACTTACATAAGGGTGAGAGCTCCGTCCCGGGGACCTGCCTACAAAAAATAAAAACAAAAAGGGTAAAGGACGGAGCAAGCTGGTCGCCGACTCGCCGCGCACGACCCCTGTAACCTCTAATCGCTGTAATCGCAACCTCCAGCGCGTGCAAAGGTTACATACTATTATACCAAGTTCCACCATTAGACAACCCACGACAAGAGCACACCACGAACCCACGACTAAAAAATAATCTTGATCGACGATGCGTTGCGAAACCACGTGTTGACCCAGCCAGAAGCAGACAAATCACGATACGCAGCGAGGCGACGCCTCACGTCGCCGTCGCTATGGCAAGCAACGCGAAGTCGAGATGGGCAGACAGCGAAGAGGACGCCGCCCTCGAGGCTAAGCTAAAGGCCGAAAAGGAGGAGAAGAAGCGCCTGAAGGCTGAAAAGGCACGCAAGGCCGAGGCGGAACGATTGGCGCAGCAGGCGAGGGCCAACACCGACAATGGCACCGCGAACGACGACGACGGTGACGACACACGGCCGGCGAAACGGCGCAAGTTCACCCCGGATGTAGAAGGTGGAAGAAAACCCATCACGACAGGCGATGCGTCAGACAACAAGGAGGGCGCTGCGAAGCTCATGCGGTTTCCTTCCAGCCGCTGGGGCAAGTGCCGGAGTGTGGAGAACTACGACAAGCTCAATGACATTGAAGAGGGCACGTACGGATGGGTGTCGCGGGCGAAAGAGGTTGTGAGCGGCAAGGTGGTTGCGCTGAAGCGTTTGAAGATTGAGCCGAGCGATCGCAATGGCTTGCCGGTAACGGGCCTGCGGGAGATACAGATACTGCGCGACTGCAGCCACCGCAATATCGTGAATCTGGAAGAGGTCGTGGTGGGTGATGATACGTCAAAGATTGAAAAGTACGTGACTACTTCCCCTGCATCGTACTGGATTGAGGCTAATGACTGCGCTGCAGTATCTTTCTCGTACTAGAATTCGTCGAACACGACCTCAAGAGTATCCTAGAGGACATGCCCGAGCCCTTCCTCCTGTCAGAAGTCAAAACACTGCTCCGGCAACTGACGGCGGGCGTTGCGTACCTCCACGATAACTGGATCCTACACCGCGACCTCAAGACGTCAAACTTGCTACTCAACAACCGGGGCCAGCTCAAGATCGCCGACTTCGGCATGGCGCGGTATGTTGGCGACCCACCACCGAAGCTTACGCAGCTTGTCGTGACGCTGTGGTACCGGTCGCCGGAGCTGCTCCTCGGTGCCCGGGCCTACGGCCGCGCCGTCGATATGTGGAGCGTTGGCTGCATCTTTGGCGAGCTCCTCACGCGTGAGCCCCTCTTGCAGGGAACCAACGAGGTCGACCAGGTGACCAAGATCTTTGAGCTTTGCGGCGTGCCGACGCAGGAGTCGTGGCCGTCGTTCCGCAGCCTCCCAAACGCGCGGTCGTTGCGCTTCCCAAAGACGTCGCTGGCCACGGGCTCTGTAATCCGGGCCAAGTTCACGACATTGACGAATGCTGGGTGTGCGTTGCTGAACGATTTGTTGTCCCTGAATCCGGATTCGAGGCCGTCAGCCAGGGAGATGCTGGACCACAAGTACTTTAGAGAGGACCCAAAACCCAAGAAGGAGGGCATGTTCCCGACCTTCCCTAGCAAGGCGGGCCAGGAGAGGAGGAGACGTCATGAGCCGAATGCTCCTGTCCGTGGGCAAAATGCTGTTGAACTAGGTGATGTCGACTTCAGCGGCATCTTTCAGGGCAGAGATAAGGAAGAGAGAGGCGGTGGCTTCTCCTTGCGGATGGTGTAAATGATGCAGCCGTAGTTCATACAGCCGTGCTACCCGGCCAGTATCATCAATTAAGCTATATATTGATAACTCTCATAAACATCCGAGTTTACCTATATATGGAGTCATATTTTACCCGACCATGCTTCGACATTTAACGCCGCCCGTGTGTGAATGACCACCGTGAATGATTACCGCTGGACTCTTGTTCTCGCTCTTGTGATAGACCCCTCCCCTTAGGAAAATTGAACATGTTAAATCAGAAGATTAAATAGGAGAAATTTGTCATTAAAACACGTCATTAGAACATGCCGAGTCCCGCCACGAACCACGTGAAGCTGGCGACGGTGACCATGCTCATGCCTACAGCCATGCCAACGGCCTTTCTATCCAGAGAGGGTGCAGCCGACTTGCAAACCGCACAGGTCCACTCGTTCAAAGGCTGGTAGTCTTTTGGTAGGTACATGCCGAATGTGAAGCTGTTGGAGACGCCCAAGTAGCCAGGAGCTGCAGTCGCGCTGACGCTCGATTCCGCATCGTAAATGATGAGAGTGTACGCATCATTGCGCAGCGGTGCCGAGGCGTCGGTCTTTTGTACGCTCGAGTCCCAGGTGAAGGAGGCGGGCTGGGCAAAGCTCATGTTCTGAGTGAGCGTCCAGGTCTGGGCCATGGAGGAGCAGGAGACGAGGACATCGATGGCGGTGGGCGTGGCCTGGAGGTTCGTGTAATTCCATCCCCAGGTGACGTAGTCTCCGATCTTGTAAAGGTTGATAGACTGTGCCGTGGCTGCCGGCGTGATCATGACAACGCTACCCTGAGGGTCGGTCTCGTCGAAAGCGGTAGACTTTGACTTGCTGGTACCAGTCTTGGTGCCGGTTTTGGCACCAGTGCCCGTCTCCGTACCCGTCTCCGAGGACCCCTTTGCGGTGTTGAGGTTGGTGGTCTTGGCACCATCCGTCTTTGTTTCCTCTGCATTTCCCGTGGCCGTGGCCGCTGGTGTTGCCGTGGCCCCTGTCCTGGTGGCCGCGGTCTCAGTTGCGGCAGGTGCTGAGGAGTAAGGTCAGCTATATAGGTTCACAGGTACAGAGCTTCCGGTAGTATGGAGGCAACGTATTACGACATACCGGAAGATTCGTCGTTCTGGCGCACAACCAGGGCATCGACATCCGGGAGCCATCTGGGCCAGGCGGAGGCCAGAGGAGTGAAAACGGCGAGGCCGAGAGCGAGAGACTGGACAGCCTTCATGGTAATGAGGGAGGATGTAAATTTTCTAGAGGTTCGAGAGAATACTGGAGAGGCGGACCAGATTCCTCCGGCGAGATTATGACGTCTGTTATAATCGAAGAACGGCAACAAGCGAGTGCAGTTGATCGAGAGCGAGATGGTCCTTTTGAGGAAGAGTTCGAATCGAAGTGTTTGTCGTGGGCGATGGGGGATTGAAGTCGAGTCGCGGGCACCCCTTTTCACGCAGTGCAAATTGCAATGACAGTACGGGGGGTTGAAGTGTTGACTTGTCGACCTCCCAAAAAAAACGTTCTTTTCTCTTCGATATCCTCCTCTCTCAATAACGACAAGAAAACGAGCGGGGTTGGATCAAAGCGAGTGTCGAGGTTACGGATTAAACAACAGAAAACGGACGTGAGGAAGGGCGTCGGATTGCTGCTGGGAAGCAAATCACATGAGGTGGGAAGTGGAAAGGTGTGGTCAGGATCAGAGAGTGAGCGAAGGAAGGGCAAGTAGGCGCTGGAATGGCAGGAGAGAAATTTGGGGCGGATTTACACGCTCAGGAGGGAACGTGATGGGGCTCCGATTGATTAGGTTTGGTGGATCCACAGCAACCAAGGCGCACCCCCGACTGAGCAAGTCACTTTGTCACTTTCACTTGCACTTGCCCTTCTTTTGGGGGTCACTCCCAGGACTTCCAAGGGGAACGGGCCAGGAGAGAGCCAGCGAGTGACGGGATCATGGCAAAAAACGAGAAATGCAGGGCAGCACTCTGCGGTCAGGAACAGGGGCGGAGCCTGCCAGAGCCATGTACCTATGCATAAAAGACGGGAGGCACACACAGCCCGGGCTGGAAAGAGGGACATCGGACCAGTCAGCAGCAACTTAATGCTGTAAATAACAAAACATCAGCCGGGAGTTGCAGAAAAATACGGATGAGATGAAGAGGCTGCGCTGGTCAGGCACAAAAACAAGCCGTCATCCCACCACCAACCTCGTGTCTTCTCTCATCAGCTCCTCCCACCCAACCCGAGTCGTCGGCGTACTGGACTGCCGTGGCCCTTTTTCGGCCTCCCTTCCCGCCACCCAAAGCGTCCACATCCTTCCTAGTGGCTCAAGACAGCGCGCCTCCTCAACGATGGCCTGCAGCTGTTGACCAGTGGACCAGTCAGCAGCCAAGCCCTTTCCCGATGAAACTCGAATGGCTAAACAACGACTGGCACAGTGCAACGCAGGGCTGTGTTAATGCACCTCAGGTACCTGATGAGATACAAAGGCTAGCTGGGGACCTGGTGGTGGGTACATCGGATTGAGCAGGCGGGATCCACCCGGTGCATCGTATTCCTTCCCCCCTTCCTCCACTGGCGACGCTGCCCACTGGCCCAGCGCCTCCCCTCGCTCGTGTTGACCTACCGCTCCTCTAAAAATAAGTACTGGGACACACGCGCCTCCACAGATTCAATCAATGATGAGACTGAGGCGAGACCAGTGACCAGACGCTTCCATCCACTACTCACTCTCTGCCACGGCTTCATGAATGCTGTCGACTTTTTCGTTTCCCCGAAGATTCTGACAACCCGACATCGAGTGTCCATCCCGAGCCGGTGGATCAACGATCGATCATCTGCCGCCGTTGCCATCTCTCGGGGCCTTCTTTCTGGCCAGTCAACGTCGACACCGGATCCCCTTACGGATTCCCCCGACTCTTGGGCTCGTGCAGACTATGCTATGCGCCTTGGAAAGTCGAGGAACCGCATGTTGAGTTACCTTGTGAAAGGTTTCCAGGACCACAGCCAGACGACGAAGTCCTCTACAAGATGCCTTCAGTCTCGGACTCCAAGCTGCCGGTGGCCGTAACACTCATTCAAGAATCATCCGTTAATTGCCCGACTCATTGCATGGATTTGACTCGGATACACCATAACCTGCCTGCCAGGACACCCGGACGGACTTAGGCTTGCTATGCAGAGCACTGCAGAGAGTAGCATGAGGCGTTCTCGGCCCACTTGCATCAACCCTCAGCAGGTTTTGCGATGCACACCATGCCTGTGCAGGACCAATTTGCCTTGCTCATCTTCGTACTTGGGCCCTTCAATGCAACCGCGCAAGTGAGCCTGCATCAGAGTGCCATGCGCCCTCGGAAAAGCACCACCTCTTTTACCCCTTCTAGACCCTCCCAAACCGTCGGTGAATTTTTGAGGGCACGTGGGAGTGCTTGATATTAGTGCGACTCATCCCGAACAATTGCAGAATTATCCCGTCCCGCTGGGATCGACGTTCGAAGCCCCGATTGCACACATCGTGATCCCTGGGACTTGTGCCACCCGTCGCCGGGACTTCCCAGCTTTGTACGGCAAACGGTTTCTCGGTTGAAACAGATTTTCTTTTGCGGAACCTCACCAACGGAAACTGCACCAATTAGTTGAACAAGCTGAGATCTTTCAACGTCCCAGACAGAGTGACGAGTGGATGCGTTTCGATACGCGTCGCTGTGCTCCGAGACATGCAAAAGTTTTGGAGTAATGGCCCAGCCTATGATATGTGAGTGCACCCGGGGTTCTGGAACTTGTGGTGACGAATGTCGGAAACCCAGAAAAGGTGAAGCAGGACTGACCAAAAAGATGAACCCGAGCTATTGCACTTCGCCTCTCTTTTTTTGCCCATTGCCGCCCCTGACATTTCTCAGGGAGAAGGGTACGGGGGTCGTTTAAGAAGAACTGCAAGGCTAAGGGAATAGCAGAAAGCGGGTAACGCTCATTCGGTGGCACCCGAATGGCTGCCAGCCTCCGACCTCAAAATACAATGCAGCTTTTGCGTCAATCATGATGGTTTTGACCCCATTTGGGAAGATGCCAGCCACGCTTGTCTCAGTAACGATACCTTCCATCAGAACCCCAACCCTATCGAACAAAGCCTATCGGTACACCGCTGCACGCTGTTATAGTCTGGGAGTCTCTGCAGATCAAAGCCGTGGGTTGATCTAAGAGAACAAATGGTATGGCGTTGCAGGGATCGTGGAATTCGGATCAGTTTGTTGTGTTCGCGTTCGACATTTTGACGACAGATTCTGTGCCGGGTGCAGTTGCGGAAATTCCAGAATAATAGCCCGACGAACGGAATAACGTTGCTGCTCCGAGTACAGACCTTTAGGCACATTGAGGGCTCCTTCACGGCCTTGTGTCACGTCGTTCGTGGTACTTCAGTATTGGGTTTGAGGAACAAGAGATAAGTTTGGATGACTTGAGCCTTCCCGTCGGGTGAGCGTGCCGGCTCAGGGACCACCGAGCATTATTTCCGCCGCCGGGAGCTGGCCTGCAGTCGAACTCAACTCGACCCCGAACTCAGTGTGGTAGGTAGGTAGATGGTGGGGCAACTGGCAGACGTGGGGTATCCCCGGACAAACACCTGGATAAGGAAAGCAGCACCTGCGATATGCTTATCGATAACGTGGTAAAGCTTTAGTTTGCTATGATAAGATACGACCCTCGGGGTGCCTGCTTCACCTGGGGGCTGAGAGAGGAGGCTGTTGGCCCTGCCTTGGCCGACTTGACAATCGCGGAACAAAAAACTTCTCCAAATCAAACCTTCACGGCCAACCTGAACGGTTGTTATGTATGCGAAAGTCATGGCGTCGTCTGTCGGTACCACGGTCTCCATCGACCGCACCTATCTTGACACACTCATCAGAAGGTAAGACATCTCCACATCCCACTTACAGCTGGCCCGCGCTAGCATACGAGCCACTGTAGTGAGCCTGGTCGAAGAGGCAGAAGCTGACCGCTTGCGCAGGGCTCAGTTTGTACGTATCGCGCTGTCTTCGTCTCAATTTTTTCACCTTCATTTGCCTTTGCGCCATCGAAACCTGACAGAGACTATGTGTTAGCATGCTGGGGATGAGATTCCTTCGTCTCACCCCACCATTACCATTGCCCGCGTCGAGTATAACACCCTCGTCAAGGCTGTTCGGGAATTCTGTATGGCCTCCCCATCTACCTTACCTACGACTACAAATTGCAACCAGTGTCAACGGTTTTCTCGCAGCAACTGACATTTGAAAGCAAACTTGCGCCGCAACCTCATGCGAGGTGGTGTAACTGAAGAGACCCTTGCTGTAAATCAAGGCCCCACATCCTACCTCGCTCGTGATATCTGGTTAAGCAATTGGCATCTAGGTTTTGACTAGTGACGAGTCCAACTGGGAGGAGGACAGTGATGAGCAGCGGACCGCCGCTCCCACTCTTTCCAATACTCGTAATGTCACTCAGCTCCCAGTTGACCAGCCTCGCCTGACAACGACCACTGCTGCACGGGCTCCTCGGAGCGGACAGGACGACGGAAAGCTTACCGTCCATCAGCCTACCAAACAGGGCTGGGCCGACGCCGAGCCTACCGCTCACGACGTATCTGAAGCAGCAATTTCTCCCACTGAAGCCGAGCATGGATTCGTTCACCAAGAGGAAGCTCGGTTGCCTGTTCGGCCACAGTTTGAGAGGCTGGCCACAAGAACCATTCTGATATCCAATCTTGCCGAAGGTACATCTCACGCCGATGTCACGGACGTCGTTCGAGGCGGTTTGCTGCTGGACATCTTTCTAAGAACCCACGACCGCTCTGCCCAGGTATCTTTCTTGCACGAGGCAGATGCCAGAACTTTCTTTGAATATGTTCGGCGCCATGATTTGTACATTAGACACAAGCGGGTGAGTTTCTACACTGCAAGGCCACGGGCGATGCAGATCTAACCAGCATACTTAGGTCGATGTCCGATGGTGTGATCGACAGTTCACCCTCCCGGGTCACGTCGCAAGCAAGGTCGGAATTGGCGCCACACGCAACCTTGTCGTTCGGCGATGCGATCCAAGCCTCACTGAAGAGGGCATTCGCCATGATTTGGACCATATCCACAACCTGATAGTCATCAGAGTGACATTCGATGGCGGTAGCTGTCACATCAGCACCAATTCGGTGCACAACGCCCTGTTTGCGCGGACCTGCATGATGAGTCGACAGTATGCTGACATTCTCGCTTCCAAGGAGTAGCCGGAAGCTGACATCGTGATAGGAAGTACAAGGGGTCGAAGATCGAATGGGACGCCGATGAGTGTGCCCAGCCCTTGGAAACTCCCCAAGCTCACCGGGTTCAGCCTCATGTGCTTCCGTCGAAGCGCCTCGTGAACCCCATGGCGAACCGCTTCGAGATCTTGAAGCTGGACGGCGACAGCGACAACGAGGAGAACATCCCACCTGAGTTTCACCCGCGGCCTTCGATGAATATCAGGGTCTAATGACGATTGGCGAACCGCTTACTCGAGACCAGTCTAGAGGCTGGGCTTAACCCGGCAGATGAAGATCGGTCTGCCTGTCCATGATTTACTCGAGCCCGTGGGCTTTTTTACTGGGTTTGAAGGCGTCTGTTATGCATACCGGGGTACCCGGACGGAGTTGGGAATACCCCTTGGACTGAATGTTAAGTTTGCTTTGGTATTCGAGGTTACATTTTGCTGGTCTTCCCATTGCCTGCTATGGGATGTCTGCAAGATTGTTCTTCAGATCAGCTTCTAGCAACGTGTGTTGATAACCTGATTATGAATATTTCCTATTGTCCACCTTTTACCTTCCACTACGTGACATTCGTTGGCTCGCATGGCATCAAATCAAGGCATACAGTCCAGCTTTCAATGATGAATTTATTTTGATTGTCAAATTTTAGGTTCGGCTAAGTTCCAGTTCGTATCCTCATGTCATCCAGATGCGAGTTTGGGAGAGACTAGGTGACCCGCTTGTGAGAGGCTGCTGCCCCCCAAGCAATTATTTTTTTCCTTTTCCCTACGAGCATACACCCCATAATCTGGATCATACGAAAATGTGCTTCGCAAGTATCTCTGCAGACTACAGGAGTATACCAAGTAGCCGCAATTCAGATCCCATCCTTGAACAAACGGTACCATCAAGGTGAATATAGTAACCAACGTTAAGAAACCGAAGCGCCTTCGCCCCCAGCTACAACTTCCATGCAAAAGAACGCTCAGATGACATTCCAAGTCTGGTCTATGGGCAGACTGACCCCGTTGATCGTGCTCGCCCGGTCCGTTGCTGGGAACATCCCGGCCGTGCTGGCGACGTTGACGACGGCGCCCGACTTCCTCTCCAACATGAAGGGGATGACGGTCCACATCCTTCCTGACGGGGACAGTGAGGCTGACGGCCATGAGACGGTCCCACTCCGCGTCCGTCACCCCGTCGACGCTGCTGAAGCTGTCCAAGACGCCCGCGACGTCGAGGAGCAAGTCGATCCGGCCTCTGACCTCTGTTAGCCGCGGATTCTCTGCGTGCCCCCGTCAGTGAGTTCCTCTTTGTATCCAAAGTGCCCGGTAAGACTCGCCCAAACAAGGGGATCGCCGCACACACCCCGTCCTCGCATGCGCCGGGCCCCGTGGAACGTTTGCCTGGGAGGGGTTCCCGTTCCGGAAGACCCCAGCAAAGCTATCAAGGAAGGCAATGGGGGTGTGTGCCCTTGTCTTGGCCCTACCTGGCTTGTGAAAGACGTTTCTCTTGACGAGGTAAGAACTTGCGGTTTCCTCTGCCGAAGAAGAATGTGTTGATGTGTAAAGGGAGACAGCCTCTCTCTCTCTCTCCCCTCTGAGTCAAACCTGAGGGTCCAAGGCCTCCCTCGAGTGGTATTATCGGGGTGTCCCGCGGACAATGGTGCCCAGCGCCGGATGGTTCGATGGTGAAAGGAGGTCGAACGGCAAACCAGCTCCAGCTCGGTGTTTCTAACCCCCATGGTCCCCAAAGCAGACCCTTCGCTTCGCCTCTTGGGCCCTCTACCTGTGTGTCTTGTGTCGAAACTGGTGGGGAGCGAGCGAGATGAGCCCGACAAAAAGCATGGACCTAGAAAGAACCACCCCCTGTACTGCCAGGCCACCCATGGGAACGCCCTGGCGAAAAAGGATTCGACAGGCGTTTCTGGAACAGCATCCAGACTGGTGCGGGCCGCCGATGATTATTACACCACCGCGGGGGACACGAGACAAGCACACGGGACTACGTGGGGGCGGGGTTTGGGGCAGAGCATGTGATGTACACGGGTTGCGGGGCCGTCAACAGCATTCCTCAGATCGCCAGGATGTTTGTCTCATGGGCATATGTTTACTTGGAGTATTTGGTCCCAATTACTGTAGCAAAATTGGCAGGCTAGGTACATCCCAGGGTATAATATCTCCTGCTTGAACATCCCATCCTGCACCTTGGCCCTCCCCCAAGCAATGATTTACCAACGCAAGCGCGTTGTCAAACCCATGAACCCGTCGCAATGCAACACCGGAAATACATAGATACGATCCACTAAACAAGCATGTACTCCGGGGAACCCCGCGATGAACTCCTCGTTACCACGTCTGGCTGCCCCGCCGCCGTTCAAGCAACTCACCTGGCCCCTACTTGGCATTGTTTGCCACTGATGCCAGGTACCCAAGCAAGAAACTCCGGTCCGCTGGAGAAATCGGAGTTTGGCTGCCGCGGCGGGATTCTGACAAACCCTCTGGGGCACCTTGCCCGCTTGCAGAGGCAAGAGATGCTACGCGCGAACGCATGATCCCGTCGGGTGCTGCCATCTCCCTAGCCTTGCCCTTGTCATCTAGTCCGAATCCAGGCCCAGGGCTTGGCGATTGAGGCTTGCCAAAAAGCGAGAGAAGCTTCTGTCTCTGTTCTGTAGCAATCTGCGGCTTCTGCTGCAGAGCGTCAGGCGCCGGCAGGGCTGACGCGGCAGGAGGGCTGGCCAGGCTAGCTGGCTTGTCCACACCGGCTGCACCGAATACAGAAGCCATAGCAGGTGCCCGAGGTCCACTCGGCTTGCTGAAGTTTTCCGCTCGTTGAAGAATCTGGTTGGGGTGCATCTGTGGCGACTGGCTGTTATACATGGCAGCGTGACTGTTCATGCCTTGGTAATACGGAACCCTGTTGTCTGCGATTCTTGGGCTATATCCCCAATAGATTGAGGGCTCCGGTGTTCATGTCCCCCAGCCTGGGGCTGAAGTGAGAGAGATTGGATAGGGACTTGTGAGGTAAGATCCGAGATCCCCTGAGGGGGTCTGCTAAGAGGGCTGCTCGAAGCTGGCTGAGCACCACGGTTCTGGAAGACAGGGCTAAGGGTGCCCTGATTGGCGGCTTTGACTGTCGATATTCCCTTCATAAGAGCGGCGCTTGCAGTATTTGCAGGCAGCTCAGCGGGCTGGTTTGCAGGCGGCGAGCCGATTTCAGGCTTCTTGAACATCTGTAGAAGAGTAGACCTGTGTGCTGGGTCGCTGGGCTGCTGAACGCGCGAGTTTACACCTGGGTTGGGTTGATGTTGTGGTGCGCCCGCACTTGAAACTGGCACGCCAGGCGGTTGCCCGTACACCTGAGCGCCTCCATACCCATGGCCGCCGCTGAATGGGTGACCATGTCCCGAAGGTGTGGACCCTAATGGTTGAGGGCTGGCGTGATGCGCGCTGTCTGGGCCGTCCGGTTTGGTGTCCGACTTGAGAACCCCCAACAGTGCCATTGAGTGATTGGAAAGTTGGCCGTTAGGCGGCTTGGTTTGATAAAAAAGGTTCTGGTTTTGCTGTTGAGGGTGCGCTTGCTGGAATTGTGCATTAGCCATGGACTGGTTGACAGTCCCCTGCGCATGCTTAGGAGGCGGTGGTGGGGTGGTTTCGGCGAACCCGCCCCTGCCCAAGAGAGTCTGTTGAACCTGAGGAGGCAGAGGTTGCGGATGCCTCAATGGCGGCTGTGGCATATACGCAGGGGCACCCATCATCGACGGTTCGTGATGCCTTGCTTGAGGGGGAACCGGGACGGGTTTGCCAGGCTGATTGAACGCCCACGACTGCGGTGTTCCGTCTGGCAGGACGGGGAAGCCTGGTGGGGCCTGGTAGCTTGCCAGCGGTGCCCGTTGCTGGGGGTGGTGTTGGCCGTGAGGGCTGTGCGGTTGCGGCGCCTCTCTCATGGTATAATCAAGAGGTGTATGAGGAAGTTGAGAAATTGGGACTCCTTGAGCAGCGGCCTGGTTCTTGGCCTGCAGGATGGCGAGCAACGACGCGCCCTTATCCGACCCGACATCCGGAGATGAAGGCTTCGAGGTTGCCTGCGCGGCTGTTGGTTGGACCTTCAAAAGACGTTGCAGTTCCTGCGTTGCACCCTCGAGGGTGTCGATACCCGGTGTTCGGTTCGAAACATCAGTGGCAGCCTCCGTCTGCCAGACATCGTCCTCGGTGACAGGCTCCTCGTGAAGCGAGTAGGGGTTGAAGTGCGCCTCGTTGGCAGCCTTGACGGCGTCCTTCCTCTTCTGTTGAACAACCCATTTCTTGAGGGGACCAGGAAAGGTGCCACCATGTAGAACTTATTGGCGTTGGCTGCCGCTGCGGCATCGTTCTGGGGCTGGTTTCCCTTCTTCCGGAACGCAGGAAGCTCAGAGAGCTTGTACCACTGAATCTTGCTAATCTCTTTCCTTGTCCGCGGCTGGAAATGGGTGTCCATTGGCACGTCGCGGAAAACGTAGAGCCTCAGTTGTTGCTCTCTCATGGTGACCTCAATATACTTGACGTCGTCTCGGTTCTCGGGAACCAAGCCGGCGGCATGCAGGTCGTAACCAGTCTCTTCGTAGACCTCGCGAACGGCGCATTCGAGATCATCCTCATCCTTGTTGATCTTTCCACGAGGGAAACTCCAGTTTGCTCCCTTCTTCCAACCTTTGACCAGGATGGTCGAATCCATTGCCTCATTGAGCAGGATGGCTCCCCTCACAGGTACTCTCGTCTTGTACTGCAAGAACTCTTCGAAAGCTTTGGTGTGGTTCTCGACCGAAAACGGTGCCAACAGCGGACAGTGCTGGAAGATGCGGAGACTGAAGCTTCTAAGGGTCATGGAGGGGAGCGTAGGATCGAGCGGGCGGACGAAATCTTCGTAGAACCATTGAGCCTCTTCTATTTGGAAGCAAATGCGTGCAACGGATGACAGGTCTTCTTCAGGAAGGTTGATGATGAAGCGGACACATAGGTCGTCCAACCCTATCGATAGTATTAGCCTTGTTGCAGGTTGATGGTAATGTGAGGGCGCGAGGCTGAGGGTAGCTATCGCCCCGGTCGTCTAGGGTGTGGGGTAAACCAACAATCTTCTAACTGCATCTTTTCTTCGGCCATTTTGCGCGATGGCTGGCAACATGTCCCTCAAAAACAGTATCTGTCGAGTGCGTCTTAGTCGCCTGTTCCTGGCAATGCAGTGGCGGCGGGGAGAAGGTCCTGGCGACAAGTATGAGTTGAGTTCAAGGCGAGGAGCGGCGATGGCATGGTACGGAGTAAGAGGCTTGGGTTCGATCAGGCTCGAAGGTTCCCGCTTGCGATCGGAATGCGCCTGCTACAACGGAATCGGGAACGGCGGATAATCCAGTGAAATAGACTGGAGAGGTGGCGGTTGGAACGTAGCTAAGGTGTCAAAAGCTCGCCGTGTATCTCGGTGGGGATTCGATGCGAACACGTTCACGAGCGGCCTCTCGGTATGGTGATGGTTGGGTGGTTTGTTGGTCAGAGGGCAGAGAAACGACGCAGTGCTTTCTCTGTTGACGTTAGCAGACAAGGCAGCTGGCTTGGGCAGTGGAGGCCACAGTCAGCGTCGGAAGCTTCAGGGGGAAGGCGTGGAAGGTGGGACGGACGTGGCATACGTTGTGTGGCGGGCAGCTGCAATAGAGCCCCATGATTGGCCATGCCTTCCCGAGCTCAGTCCAGATTGAGATGGCACTGTCCATTCCGCCAGTCTCATGGGATAGTCTACAGTGCGCATAGAGGCCGCGTCGAAACTGTCGTGAGCACAGCCCATTTCCAGCTTGTCAACCACATCAGAACAGCATGTCGCTTCCGTCTGGTCTCGACCGGTCCCTGCCAGCTATATGTCGCCTTCTGCGTTGAGAGGTACTAAGCAACCAGCTCAACAAGCAAGCTCCCTCAACCTCTTCCCGTTCATTTCCCTGTCCGTCCCTAGCTGGAATTCACCCGAGAGGTTGAGAGGTCTAAGCGAGCTCGAAAAAGTATGGAGACGAGCTCAGCCACGATATGGCTGTGTAGATCACTCGCCACACTTGCGTGGCTGGGCCACCTCTTCACTGTCAATGCCGACGCTGTCCGGGCATGCAGCTAGTTTGAGCAGCGCCGTCCCAGCGGGTTCCATGCCGCTGAAGTTTTTCCATTCAGGCCATTGGAGCCCGGCCGGGTTGCACGCTTGTTGGAGCCCAGCCACCTGTCCGCTGCAGCATGATATGAAACGCAGCGGTCTAGCCTGTGAGGGCCCCACTGAAGAGGCCTCTCGGAAGTGCGCAGAGTGCATTGGCGTGCAGTGACCGACAGAATTACATCATGATCGCGGACTGGTCCCCTGACTTGTCAAAACAGGAATTCTGGGCAACGAGCGTTGAAGACGGCCCTGCTACGGCCCTGCTGTTTGTTACGTAGGAAAAGAGGCAACTTCCTTGGAGGTGACTCGGACCCTGCATAGCCATCTGTCTCTTTTCCTTGAATGCTTATATTATCCAGGCATTTCCTCGCTCATTTGCCGTAGCCGGCTTGGAATCTCTTGATCTTACCCACCAGTCTACGTCCAGACCCATTGCCAACGGTTGCTTTGTCTTAACGACAACGGAACGCTGCCCCTCTACACGGCACCCCAAAAACAAACGGCAACGACAAGCGGCTTATTCTACGATTACAATATTTCCCAGCACTCCATTGAGGCCATCTCTGCCTGTCTCAGTACGCCACTCATTACAACAAGTAATTGAGAACTGCGTTGTTGCGCAACTATTTAGTTCGAGACTTCGGCACTCACCTGCGATCCAACGCTTCCCCGTTGCATCGACGACACCGCCGCAAACATGGCAGGTCTTATTGCAAAGTGGATCAGCAAGAAAATTCTGGCGGAAAAGGTCGAAAACAACTTTGGCCGTGAGGTATGTCATTGCACCTGAATGATGCGCTCATGCTATTGGTGACCTTGACAGCTGACCTCATCGACAGGACCCCTACTTCGAGACCGTCCCTGCCACCAGGCTCGATGGTACCCCCACCGGCAAGGTCAAAAAGCGCAGAAAGGCCCTGCCTCCAGGAATCTCCAAGCAAGATGGAGAGGTATTGACAAAGGTCAAGCGTCGAGCCTATCGTCTCGACCAGTCATTGTTCACATGTTGTGGTGTCAAGTTTGGATGGGGCAGCGTCATCGGACTGATTCCTGCGTGAGTACAACCCCCGGTCACATCGCTCACCCCACATTCCCCATTCTGGCCTGTCGACATGTACTGACGGCGCATTCTGTCTAGGGTTGGAGATGTTCTCGATGCTTTCATGGCCATGATGGTCTTCAGAACTTGCTCCAAGGTTGAAGGTGGACTCCCGAGCTCGGTCAAATCCAAGATGATGTTCAATATCATAATTGACTTCGTCATCGGCCTTGTCCCCTTCGTGGGAGATGTGGCCGACGCCGCTTTCCGTGCCAACACCAAGAACGCCATTGTACTTGAGGAATATCTTCGCGAGAAGGGGAAGAAGAACTTGCGTCGTAGTGGAGCACCTATTCCAGCAGTCGACCCGAGCGATGCTGACGAGTGGGATCGCCTGCAAGGAGACCGTACGCCGCCCGAGTATGTCAGCCGGGAGCCGTCTCGCAATGACCACATGTCGTCCAGCCGCCAGCACTCGTACAATGGCCGCGCCCCAGCTGCTCCGGCCAAGGCCGCGGTCAGAGAAGAACGGGCGAGTAGTGGTGGTCGAGGCTGGTTCGGTTTCGGTCGGTCGAGAGTTGATGATGTCGAGTCGGCCCGCAACCCTACAGACGGGTCAGCCCCGCGACAGTCGAGGCGATAGAACACATTCTCCAATGTCTACAACCTTGAGAAAGGTGGTATGGGGAGGGGGGGGGTTGGGTTCACTTCGGACATTTCCCTCCGTGAAGCGCTTCGACTATTCGCTGTTGTAACCACTTGATGTTTTTTGTTTTGGAGGACGACAGTCAAAGAGTATGGCGTTATGAAGTCCATCTCTAGACGCGTCTTATGTTACGGAGGCTGGACGACTGAGCATGAACACGATACGATACCTTTTCTTTTGACATACCCACTTCGCGTTAGTTGTACTCATAAATGATCAATGAAATTAATGGAACACATGCTCGAATAGTCTTGACGTATGCGTGACACATAGACTGTTTGAAGCCGAACGTGGAAGCCGAGCATCGGTGTCCGTGCCTGGCAGTAATTGACGATCAGAACGATGATGGTAATTCCGGAAATCCGCTTCAACACGTCGACCCGCAGGACAGAGTCATACACAGTCAGGATTTAGTGATGCTTAGACGAGATGACATGGCTGTGAAGTCTTGGGGGAGCCACTTGGGTTCCGCAGAACTGGAGCTTGGACGTATTCAGTTTTATCTGATCTGATCTGATAAACAGGGGACGGCAGGGGAACGCGTCAAGTCGTAACGCCGAGGACGAAACCAGCATAAAGGTGTGCGCAGGGTCAGGAGATTGAGGAGAATGGCTAGGAGCTGGAACGGAGGGGCAGACGCGTCGAGCTCGGCCGAAGCTCTCGAGGTCTCGGGACGCTGGGTCGATGGAGTAGCTTTTTTGCTCATGGTATCCAGCCATGACATCGTGTTGCCTGGTTGGCGTGCTGGGGGGTGGAACGCAAGCGGCCAGCTCGACGTCGTAGCTCATCTCACTTTTACAAATGATGAGGAGTTTAGAAGAAAAAAAAGAGGGCTGGACCTGACTTGTCCCATTTTGGGCCGTATTTGTGCAAGGTCTGGAAGTGGAAAAGACAGAAGCGAGACAGGATCACTCCCACATTGGCACACTGGCACTTTAGCAATGGAGCGAAACGCGCCGGTGATCACGGTGGGGAGGGATAGCCCCTGATGCTGCGAAGACGCGCTTTTTTGTGGGGCCGAGCGGTCAAACCTGGAAGACGGCGCGTGGTTCAGTGCAAAAGCAAACGCGGACCCCCCTGCTACGCGTCCCACTGCGTCCGACGTGATAGCGCTCTTACCCGGTACAAAAGCTTCTGCCTTTCCAGAGTCGTTCTCCCATTCACTCCTCACTTTCAACCAGAAGACAACAACTACAAACCCTCGACCGCGACAGACTTTACATCCTCAATCAATTCCTCCAGGCTTTCCCTTTCCTTCCAATCCAACGCTTTTGTCTTCTTCTCTTCCCTCTTCTCACACACTCCCCACTATGTCTGTTGAAGTCACCCCGTCTAAGCAGGTACGTCACGCCAACCCGCGCCGTATCCCGGCTGCACCTCTGTCCACGCGTGTCCCGTAAATGCAATTGCTAACAATCGAATTCTCAAGGCCGCTGCTGCCCTCGACTCTTTCAAGATGGAGTCCCCCGTCAAGAAGCTCAACTTCAACGCCGCCGACAAGGAGAACCTGCCGCTTGCTGCCGACGTTGCCACCGCAACCGAAAACAACGACTTCCAGACCAAGCCCACTCAGGAGATTGCGAAGCAACAAGCAATGCCCGCCGTCGCCCCCGGCATCAAGGAGCAGGAGTTTGACGAGCCTTTGCTCCAGGAGAACGGCCAGCGCTTTGTTCTCTTCCCCATTAAATACCACGAGGTATGTTTCAACTTCGACGCGTCACTGACGCGTAAAGTGGTTTCTTGCACGTGCAAACCTTAATTGACTTTATGTGACGCATAGATCTGGCAGATGTACAAGAAGGCTGAGGCCTCTTTCTGGACCGCCGAGGAGATTGATCTGTCCAAGGATCTCCACGACTGGAACAACAAGATCAACGAGGATGAGAAGTACTTCATCTCGCACATCCTCGCCTTTTTCGCCGCCTCTGACGGCATCGTCAACGAGAACTTGGTTGAGCGCTTCAGCGGCGAGGTCCAGGTGCCCGAGGCCCGTTGCTTCTATGGTTTCCAGATCATGATGGAGAACATCCACTCCGAGACCTACTCGCTGCTCATCGACACCTACATCAAGGAGCCCGCTCAGCGCACATACCTCTTCAACGCTATCGACACCAGTATGTGGACTCCTCACCCCATGTTCCCAACTGAGCACGCGGCTAACATGTCATCACAGTTCCCTGCATTCGCAAGAAGGCCGACTGGGCCTTGAAGTGGATCAGCGATGAGAAGTCTTCTTTCGCCCAGCGCCTGGTTGCCTTTGCCGCCGTCGAGGGCATCTTCTTCAGCGGTGCCTTTGCCTCCATCTTCTGGCTCAAGAAGCGCGGCCTCATGCCCGGTCTGACCTTCTCTAACGAGCTCATTTCTCGTGACGAGGGTCTGCACACCGACTTCGCTTGCCTCCTGTACTCCCACCTCAAGAACCGTCCCAGCAAGCAGGTCATTGAGGACATCATTGTCGATGCTGTCAAGATTGAGCAGGAGTTCCTGACCGAGGCTCTGCCTTGCGCCCTGCTCGGCATGAACTCCAACCTCATGAAGCAGTACATTGAGTTTGTCGCCGACCGTCTCTTGGTTGCTCTTGGCAATGACAAGGTCTACAAGTCTTCCAACCCGTTCGACTTCATGGAGAACATCTCCCTAGGTGGCAAGACCAACTTCTTTGAGAAGCGTGTTGCCGACTACCAGAAGGCTGGTGTCATGAACAGCACCAAGAAGGCGCAAGAAGAGCCCACCGAGGGCAAGGGTGAGAACGGCGGTGACTTCGTGTTCGATGAGGACTTCTAGATCATGAGCACCCGAAGTTTCTGTCCTGTTCTTTCCCCCATATACCCCTTGTACATTTGCATACGCATGGTGTTTTGCCAGCGCATCCTTTTACACTCTCCACACCTCAATCGCCCCCCTCAATGAGCTTGGGCCCAGAGTTGTTTTTTCCTTGTCGTACATACATGGCGTTGGCGGGGATCATTTTACAGGGAGTTGGATGCTCCCACGGGCTGGTCGATTGGATGACCGTGGAAAACAGGGGGCACGAATGTCTTTGATGGATAATGTACTGCAGTGACCTTTCTTTAGAGCAATCGCATATGACACATGAACCAAACCAACTGTCTCTGATTGCGAACGTATCCATGATGCCGTTTTGACCGATAACTGAGAACACTCGTATCTTTGATACTTCAGTCCTTGACTTGTCCATTTTTGACGCCTTTGATATGTACGGGTGAGAGCTTGTCCTGCTGTGAAGCAGGGCGTCTTATCGTTTCGTTGATACCATGCTGTAAACACTTCTGTCCACCGAATTCTCCCTTGAGCAGGGGATGTCACGACGTTACCCCTCCCCAAGGCAACTCTATACCTCCATCCCTCCTCAAATAGTCTCGAAGCCTTGAGCCCTTCATTTCTTGCCCTTCTTCTTCTTCTTTCCACCACCGCCGACAGCACCAGCAGGCGTCGACGCTCCAGCAGCGCCACCAACGGGTGTTTCCTCCCCGGCTGTGGGGGCTCCGGAGACACCGCTGGCAGAGCCGACAGCATCCGTCATCGGCTCGTCCTTGACCTCGACGGACGCCTTGGAGGTCGACATGGTGCGGCCCAGGGTGCCAAGGCAGGTGATGAGGCGGGAGACCTCCGCGGCCTTGGTGGTGCGGTACTTGAGCGTGACGCCGCTGATCGGGTCGAAAGTCTTGAGGACGAGGGAGCCGCGGGGCGGCTTGGCGTCGGTCATGGGGGCGTCTTCAGTCGCGCTGGCATCTTCCGTCGACGTCTTGGACTTTCGCGGCTTGACGGGGTTTATCGAGTACTTTGTTGTGATTCTGGTCTGGTTGAAGGGAGGCGCGCATCGCGGCTGGTTAGTCGAGGGACTTTGGTCTTGATGGAGAGCGAGAGAGGAGAGAGGAGAGCGGCAGGACAGGCTGTGAGGCTCACGGTTGCTGGGCGGGCTTGGAGGAGGAGGGAGGACTGCTCCAGCCATTCCTGGCTGGTCTTGTAGGTTGGCATTATGTGATGCGGGAGGCGGCCGGAGCCTTGCGCTGCTGGTCGAAGTGTTGAAGGCGCGTGCGCAGCTGTCGCTGGTTTTCCTGCTCGCTTATGCAATGGGGATTCTGGAGAGGCGGCGATTCGTTCTGGTCAGAGCCGACAGCTGTTCGAAGAGGTATGGTTGTTGCCGGGGCGGTTGGTCGAGGGGTGACGTTCGGCGTCGTGGAGGTGGTGCTGGTGGTGCTGGCCTTGTCGGTGGAGGATGCAATTTTGGTGGGGTTCGGCCGAAGCTACTTTGGAGTTGTGCCCATGAGATGCGATGAGGGCAACGTTTAGCCGCACAAGGAGCCAGCCTGGTTCATCATTCGGAGACCTTGAAATAGCCCCAATCACAGAACAAATCACGATTTTACGACACAAATGATGACCGTTTGTCATTCAACAGACTTGTTTTTAATACGGATTGGGTATCTTTTATCCTAGACTCCGAAAAAGAATTGACCTCCCTAGACCGCTATTTTAAAGCTCTTAAACTCTCTACCATGCTGATCGATTTCAAGCATGAGGGTCAGGTACCCAGAATAGGACTTCCTGGTCGGCAGTCGCAAAGAAGTTGTAGCGCGGATTGAAGGCCAGCACCGCCGCTTCCCGCTTGTCCTCCAACGTCCAGGATGGGTTGAGAGTCTTCGTGTCGTTTTGCGGCGCAGTCAAAATGTCCCAAACAAGCACGTCCTTCTTGGAACCACTCAGAACGTAACGGCCGTCCACGGAGAAGCAGCACTCTCCGCTGCTCTCCACCGTCGGCTGCTCTATCCTCGGCATCCCGTTAACGGCGGTGACAGTCTCGCCCGCAGCCAAGCGCCGGGTTCCGCCCTCGGGCTTGCGCAGATACGCCTTCAGACTTCCGTCGAAGGCGTCCAGCAGGAAGTGGCCGCTGCCACGTGTGCCGACGAGGATATGCTTCCCATCGTTTGAGAACTCCAGCTTCGTCCATCCCCTGACGATGAATTGGGGGTCTACATGCCGTCCAACTTCGACGAGATCAAAGGTCGCGAACGGCGCCTTATCATAATTGCGACAGTCGTACAACAAGACGCTGCCGCTGCTTGGGGAGGCTACTGCAAAAATCTGACCCGAGGGATCGTACGCGGCGAGGTACGGGGAATTGAGCATCAGCTGACCGCACCACTGCTTCGTCGAGATGTTCCAAAGGCGCACAGTATTGTCTTCACTGCAGGAGATGAAGTTATCGGCTCCCGGGTGAATGGCAATATCTGTGACACTCCGTTCGTGGCCCTCAAAGTATCGGATAAAGGAGTTGTCGTGCGTCGCTAGGTACCGAATCTGGTCTGTAGTCTTCATTAGCAACCGAATAGCGACTCTAGGTTCGGGATTACTAACCGTTCTGTTTCGTACTCGCGTAGATGATGCTGGAGCTGGTGTGCGTGAAGCGCGCCAGCTTGACTCCATACTTCTTACTGAGTAAACTCTTGTCATGCCGACCTTCCTTGACGTTGTAGATTTGAATAGTCTCGTCGCTTTCAGAGGTCATGAGAAGCTCGCCAGGGTCGTCGAAGTCGAGGGATAGCACGTGGGGCTGCGGGCGACCGTCTTTGATATCGTCTCTCTTGAATAGCTAAACCATAGTCAGCAAACCCTTCCACACAACCCAACCGCATCGTCTCCCTACCTTTGTTGGGCGAAACGATGAAATGACCTCGCTCAGTTGTGTGGTGTTGTTGGTTGCTAGGGAGCGCGTGATGTTGAGCGAGGTTCCGTTGGCTGGAGTCGACTCGCGATGATCGAGGTCCATAGGTGTTGAAGCCATGGCAGCTGTGTGGGAAGCACTGACAGCTTTCCTGTCTCAATTGGTCGAACAACTTTCCTTCACTCGTTCGCGTCGCAAAGACAGAAGCTAAAGTTGGGCTCCGCTTGACTTTCAACAGCGAAGTCAGTAACGGTATCGGCTGGCTTCGGAGGCCGCTATCGAACTATGAACAGTACGATATGCTCGAGCTTTAGGAGTATGGAATCGTGAAAAAGTCGCGTCGGTAAGATGTGTTTGTAACATAACGCCCTCACAATCCCAGCATGCGGCCGACTGAAATCTAGGAGCTCCAATTCAGCTCGGCCTGGCGGCGGGGCAAGGGAATTGGAGCTAACTGCGCCACTTTGCAACCCAGCACCCCCAGACATGTACGTCGCCGACCACCAGCCACACCAGCGCGATACTCACGGCCCACGGCGGGTAGCCTCGCCGATGACGCCCGACCACGCAATTGGAAACTGGCTCACCACCAATGGGCCAGCTAAAACGACGCCCCCCATTCCTTCGCTAGGCACTCCAGGGTCCGGGGTACCGATTCAGGCCGCCCGCGAACCTTAGCGTTTGGCACCTGCAAACGCCGGGATCGGCAATGGCTATCCACGGCCGTACTGACTCTGAGCAAGAAAATTCCCAATTTCTCTTCCGCGCGCGGAGCTTACTGAGGTACCTTGGAGCCCCGAAGAAGAGTCAATCGGTTCGTCACTCCGACCCGACGCGCCTTAACCAACATCAGCTTACATTGTCGGCTCTCGTTCAAGAGGTGCGCTCTTTACGGCTCCTGTCTAACTGTAGGATTAGCATGTAAGACTCCTATCACATTCATGACTGGCTATCAAAGTGCCACGATGTTCTGGTTGCTGACCCGCACTCTTCCGTCATCTAGGTCCTAGCATTCCGAGATCGCGCTGTCACTCTTTTCCCCCCTATTCACCACAGCTTCCGACTGCCAATCGAGTCGCAATCCAAAACAGCAGCATATTCAACTCTTTGATACCCCTTTATTCTTATCTTTGCGAAGCTATCCATTGACACCATGTCAACAACCTTGGGGCAAGTTGCGGCGCGCAGACCGGCATGCGCAAGACCAGCGAAGCTAACCTTCCGAATAGCGCCTTCATCGCCGGCGGCATTGCCGCCTGCGGCGCCGTAACGGCCACACATCCCTTTGAGACTGTCAAAATTCGGTGCGTCTGAGCGACGCTCCTCCCTGCCCGCTTCCCGCCGCCGGCAATACGCTGACCTCTTCCGACGTATGCAGAATGCAATTGCAAGGGGAGTTGAAGGACAAGGGACATCAGCCGCACCAGTACAAAGGCCCTCTCCAGGGTGTGTCCGTTATTGTACGGAACGAGGGTGTCAGGGGCATCTACCGCGGCATTGGCTGCGCCTATATCTACCAGGTCCTGCTGAACGGCTGCCGTCTGGGTTTCTACGAGCCGATGCGCGAAACCCTGACGACTCTCGTCTTCGACGATAGCAAGACGCAGAGTCTGGGCGTCAACATGGCCTGTGGTGCTGGATCCGGAATCATGGGCGCCGCGGCCGGCAGCCCCTTCTTCCTCGTCAAGACCCGGTTACAGAGCTACTCCCCCTTCATGCCTACGGGCACGCAACACAACTACCGCAACGCTTGGAACGGAATGACCTCGATCTATGGCGCCGAAGGTATCCGCGGACTCTACCGTGGTGTTGGCGCGGCCATGATCAGAACGGGTTTCGGAAGCTCCGTGCAGCTGCCCACTTACTTCTTCGCCAAGCGGAGATTTGTTCACCATCTGGGCATGGAGGAGGGTCTTCCTCTGCACCTTGCTAGCAGCACCGTCAGTGGTTTCGTTGTTTGCTGCGTGATGCACCCTCCTGGTAAGAGCTCTGCGTGACATCAGCGGCCTCAATTTGCATGCTAACATCTCCGGTAGACACCATCATGTCTCGCCTTTACAACCAAAACGGAAACCTCTACAAGGGCGTCTTTGACTGCCTCGCCAAGACGATCCGCACTGAGGGCTTCTTGGCCATCTACAAGGGTTTCCTGCCTCACTTGGCCAGAATCCTCCCCCACACCATCCTGACGCTTACCCTAGCGGAGCAGACCAACAAGCTGATGAAGAAGTTCGAAGACCGTTTCCTGCCAGCGGCCGCCCTGCCAAACCCATGATCGGTGTCCGATCTTGTACTTATCGTATCAGCGTTCCTTGCATATATGGAGTTCAAAATAAGATGGGTGGACCGGATGGACATATTGGTAGCCGGGTTCGGCTCGCCGAGGACATTTAGGGATACAGGAAGAGGTGAGGCAGTATACAGGTCAACGTCACGCATTAGAAAGAGACGTTTGCAAATACAATCTATATTTGATCTATCCATATATAGACCGTTCGCACCCGTAACACAGTCGTCCTGCAGTCTGCTTTCTCCTGTCGTTGTCGTCGGGGTCCTCTCCAATCTCACCCTTCCACCTGGCCTCGCCCTGTTCGTCCAGATCCATCCCGCAGACAGCGCATGCGTCGCCATCGTTCTCACGGGTAAGCTTGGCGCTCGTGCGGACGACGTTGGCAACCACAGAGGGGTAGCTTTCCTCGACCTCCTCAAAGTAACGTGCCATGACATCCTCGATGCTCAACTCCTTGTGCGAGACAATCGTGCTACTGCTGGGCCCCGCATCCTGAATGAGTTCCTTCATGGGTGGCTTGATCAAGCCGGCATACGTGATGACCTCCCGTCTGAAGACATCTCGAAGAAGATAGTACACCGAAATCGTTGTCTTTTCCGTGGCCTCGGCAACCTCACCCGCAGCGCCCTGCCGCGAAAACGTCGTAACGGGAACGGGGCCATCGCCAACCTGCCACGGCACCGCGAAACCCCGCCCCTTGGCCGTTTCCGCGAGCGTCAGCTCGGCCAGGGCGGTCGTGGTGCACCCCAGCATCAACGCGTGACACCCACTCTTGAGCGCCAATGACAGAAGCAAATGCCGCACCAAAAGCCTCATTATATCCACCCGTGACGTGATGGACGGCAGGGCCTCGAGAAGCCCCTTGACCTGCAATGCGGGGGCCAGATCCGTCTGCAGCGCGGGCAGGACGGACCAGTCTATCGTGTCGAGGGCGAGGGCGTCGCTCAGCGGCACGGTCTGCATCGAGATGTTGGGGAACCGCTCCTTGTACTTTTCCAGGACCTGCTTTGCCGCCGAGGCTTCAGACGATGAGGCGGACCCAGCCCCTGAGAGGTCAGTGTCGATGTGGACGGCGTGTACCTCGTACGCAACGCGCAGGTTCTTGTCCTTGAGGCCCTGGAGGTTCTTGTCGAGCACCTGAACCAGCGAGGCCGACGATGGGCCGAAGGAAAGGCCGAGGAGGTACTTTGCCTTTGTATCAGGCGTTACGGCTAACCTTTCCTTGATGTCCTTGTATGGCTGAGCAAGGCGCTTGACAACTCGCTGGGCGATGTGTTGCTCATAGCAGGTTCTGCACGGGCGGTCAACTTTTTGAAGCATGACATGGTCATTCTGAACACAGAGAGAGGCACTCACTCGCATAGAGGGTCTTTTCTCACTGTCAGAACGGTAGGTGTCTTGCATCGCCGACAGGGGCGCGGTTCGGTGTTTCTGCTCATCATCACGGGTCGGGCCGCAACAAGTAGGCAATGTTGAAAGGTTGGTGACTAATACAGTCTCGAGGCTTTGTCCGTTGTCCAGAACTGGGCGAATTATATGTAATACTCGTTAGATGCTTCCGTTTTCCTAAAGTATGGATACGCCAAGCAGAATGTCGCGTATGCTATTGCTGGTGGTTGATGATGAAAGGCTCAGGGTTCCGCCACTCGGGGTTGACTCAGACTCTGTCCTTGGTGCGCTGTCGAAATTTTTTGGCCAAACTCAGCTTTCCCCATCACCCGCAACACCTAAGCAACTCACCACAACCTCCTGGCTGCGCGATCACCAAAGCTCCAGACTGGCCGTTCTTCATCACGATTCACTAATGCTAGTCCGAACACTTGTTTGATTTCAAGTTTCCTGTCACGACCTAGTCTGATCCCTACTGACAATATGCACTATTACGCTGGATGAGCGTGCGTTGTTCAGCTCGATTATGGTGAGAGTAAAGTGCGGCGTTGTCCACTAAATGGGGATGATGTGTTCTTGACCATTGTTTAGAGGATTGACAGAATACTAATCCAGAAGCATGAGTGAACGACGGGCCTCATTATCCGGACCCTTCGCCGAACATCATGCACAGGCGCATTTATCCTTCATGTCATTTTAACTTAGCTTTAGGAGAAGATATAGCCCAGAGGATGACCGTCAAAGAATCCACGATTCTTCCCCCACGCATTCATCACTAAGTCTCGTCCCTCAGAGGCCACGCCCTTGATCTGCTCTTCCGTGCCCCAATCCCTCACAGTCGTGCCGAAGCCGATGAGATGAACGCCAACATGAAGCAGAGTTCTGAAAGCAAATTCTTCATCGACCACGCCATAGCCCTTCAAGAAACCCTGAATCAGCCATAGCCCAGCGTCCATGTCCTTGTATAATTTCAGTTCATAAAGTTCCGCAATCATCTGGCCTAGGTCGAGAGGGGCGACGGCAAGCATGCACATTTCCCAATCCACGACAAGGAGGCGGTTGTGTAAATCCTCCCAAGGCTGACCATTCAGGAGGATACTAAGATTTTGGTAAGCAAGGGCAATAGAGTAGGGGAGGAATAAAACCTACTTTCCGGTCCAAAAGTCACCATGAATAACCTGCAGGCTCTCATCGTTCTCCATTTCTTTAGTCATCTTGTCCGCAATAGCCGTGAATGTGCTGGCGCACTCGCCGAGAATAGACGGAAACCGCTCAACAGAACTGGGCAGCCTTTCGTAGTTCACCCAGTGCTTGAGCTTCTGCATCTCCTTGTTCGCCGCCGCAATATCGCGAAACTTTCGCTGCTCTGAGGAGTTGCTCCATTCATGAAATGCCCGGAGCCACTTGCCTATGCTCTGGCCGATGTTGAGACATTGCGGCTTGGCTGATTCGGAAGCCAAAGCTGTAAAGTGCTGCAAGGCGTAGTTCTTGAGGCTCAGAGGGTTTGGCTGGTACTCTTGAACCTGCGTGTTCGTTTCCTTATCGAAGTAAAACAGCTTGGGAGTCGCGACGCTGAGCTTGCCATAAGCGCTCGGCGGTAGGGCAGAGAGGTGTTCCAAGCACAACTCCTCGACCAGCTGGCATGTGTTAGCTAGGACAAAATGTGGCTTGGGGGTTGAAGACGCTTACACATCGTGACGTGGGGAGTTTGAAGTCCGGATTTTGCGCCAGGAAGTCTTCGCCATGCTTCACAGCTACTTCTGTTGTTCCATCGGGCAAGGGTTGTGACAAGCTCACATGGAAGATGAAATTTGCTGTCCCTCCGCTGAGGAGACTGCCACCCTCGAAGCGGTACGGTGTGTTGGCCAATTCCCCTCGGACTTCTCGCAGAATGCGATCAGGGATATCTTGAGATGCCATGGCCACGAGAATACAAGTCAGAGGCGTTAACGGAATAGTGTGGGCCAAGAACGAGGATCTGCCCGTATGGACACGAAGCTGCTTTCTTTTGTGGTCTTGGAGCAGAGTTCGAAGATAATAAAATGTTCAAAGCCGTTGTCTTTCGATTACAATGTTCTCCCACAATGTTTTGTATGTCGACGACGGGCAATGAATTCGGGAATGAATTGACAATAGGATGACGGATTCGAAAGACATTTAATGGTTTGTAGGGCATGAGGGGCTTGGTAAAGCCTGCACTTGCCACATAGGGAAGGGCAGCCACGATCTGCAAACAAGCGGCTGATGACTCAGTCGGCGTGAAGTTTCATCTGCTCGTGTCGTGACAACGTCCACCTACACTCTTTGATTCCGAGAGAGTCGCTAGCAAGGCGCATTGGTCTAAAGTTGCAACCGCCTAAGCTACATGCAACCGACAAGCACCCGTTGGAACCCATTGTGACAATATGCAAGACCGAGGCACACATGATGCCCCTGTGAGTTCGACTCGCTTGCACCAACCAACAATGGGTCGGATTGTCCTTGTCGACCAACAACAGATTCCATAAGCTGCCAAGAAGAGTGTTTTATCGTTAAGGAAGCGTGCGAAAGACCACTCGTTCAGAAAACACCAACGTGTTCTCTGACTTTACGCTTAACCCTCAAGCTATCGATCGTTTCAACATCAAGTGCAACGCTCTACGCTCTCACCGAGAAACCAAAAATGGCTGCTTCAGGAGAACCGCCCGCGAGCCATTGTACGCCGCCGAGCAGTTCTGGAGACGCCGCTGCAGCTGCTCCGGCAGCGACCAACCCACCAGTACCCGCCACACCTGAGGCCTCAACTGGGCCGGCTGTGCTCGAAGTCGACGACGCATCCAGTGACAACGCCTCCACCATCGATGATCGTATCTCAAGCTATACCGCTTCACTGTCGTCCAGTATTGTGGACTATCCGGAGGAGTACGGTCGACGATACCATGCGTACCGGGCTGGATCTTACCATTTTCCAAACGACGAAACCGAGATGTACCGCCTGGACATGAACCATTAACGAATGGTTCGGACAATCGGAGGCCGCCTCTTTCTGGCTCCCATTGAAGAGGAAAAGACGCACCGTATACTTGATGCCGGGACAGGTACGGGCATCTGGGCTATGGAGATGGGCGACTTGTTCCCGAATGCTGAAATCATTGGGAACGACTTGAGCGCCATTCAGCCTGGCTGGGTTCCTCCCAACGTCAAGTTCGAAATCGACGATCTCGAGAGTCCCTGGCTTGAGGATATGAAGTATGACTTCATCTTCTCTCGCTACATGGCAGCCTCCTTAAGCAACTGGCCTAAGTACGTGAGGAACATATACAAGGGTTTGAACAACGAGGGTTGGGGCGAGTTCCAAGACTACAGTCTCCTGTTTGGTTCGGGTGATGGGACTCTGACCGAGAAGCACGAAACCGACCGATGGGACAAGCTGGCTTGCGGGATTTGCGACGACCTTGGCCGTGAGCATTCGCCAGGTCCGAAATTGGAGCAGTGGGTGAAGGATGCCGGGTTCAAGAATATCGTCCATCACCACTATAAAATACCGATTGGGCCTTGGCCCAAGGAACAGCATTACACAAGGATCTCGGTATGCTCAACCTAGTCCAGCTGCTCGACGGGTTGGAGGGGTTCACCCTGAAGTTGTTCTGCGGCGTTCTTGGATGGACGAAGGAAGAGGTGATAGTGCTTCTCGCCAACGTTCAAAAGGAGATGAAGTCCAATGAGTTCCACGCGTACCTTAACTTTCATGTAGTCTACGGGCAAAAGCTGGAGGAGGAGGAGGATGAGGAGGCGGCGGCGGCGGAGTAGGAACAGGGGCAGGAGCAGGAGTAAGAGTGATTTCCTTTACCTAGTAGCGTCAGCAGATCAAACGACATATGCAATCCTCAACCCCAGTCTGTCAAACAGATGATGTTCCTCACAGCTCAAACCATTCAAAGCTTCACTGGGTGGTATTGAGCTCGACTTGAGACGGCAGGGGGCGCAACACTGTAGTCCACCCCCGAACTGGACAAGATGAGCTGTTCACATCGTCCAGCCACAAAAGCACGTGAGATCAACGGCCAGCCACCAGGTTGCACCGGGCTTACCCACTAACGGATGCCAGATCCTGATCGGACTAGGGTTGGGCGCCACGGGAGGACGGTTCAGAGCCGAGGCGAAGAAGCTTATCCGAGCACCTTATGGGTCGTTCAGGATCTGGGGAGAAACTCTTGTCGCGAACAAGAGACTTGAACAGGGTCGATTGAATCGAAGAGAGTCTGTCACGAACCGCCCTGCTCTGCGCCGGGCGGGTAAGCTCGGGAGGGCGGGATGTCACGACGGTTGGTCCTCAGAGCCGCTCTCGTATAAACGTTCGCTCTTGGCATGGGGGCCGTGACGGCTGTGCGCGAATGGGACAGGCAGAGACTACTCTGCATCGAAGCTGGAACGTGACGTTCGATGCAGGGTGGAAATGAGCCTCACATGCTCGGACGGGTGGAAATGGAAGGGGAAGGAACAAGATTCCCACGCATGAGGAAACGGTCTCGAACAAGGAGTAAGTCAGTCAGGCCCTGGACCGTACGATGCCTAAGCGCGCTCGGTCGATGGGTTCAGGCCAAGCCAGGGCGCTTAGATGATGGACGCGCCTTGGTTCCAATGCAGTTGATTGGGGAAACCGTATTGTGTGTGAATAAGTCTGATGTTTACTCTTGGATGCGTACTTGAGATCAAGCATCTCACATTGATGCTGGACAGTACCCTGCGGGAACACCCAATGCTGGTAAAGTTTAAAGAATCGAGCAAATGTACGGATACGGATAGGGGAGACGAGCCACATGTTCGGACCGTCAGAGACCAGTGACCATCCGAAAAAAACAAAACACGCACGTCAAGACCGTTTGCATAGCTGTGGCACGAGGATAGAGAGACAAGATGGGATGGGAATGCTCATTGTGGAACAGGCCAACCCCGAAGGGGCTACCCGCCCAAACATCGCCCGAGGACCATGAACCAGCCAACAAGGACCAATGGTGCTGACGCAGTGGGAGCGGTCTATCATGAGACAGCGAGCCCCTCTTTTTCTCCGAGTGCCTGATAGAGCCTGGCTTGTTTGGAGCTTGGGGGAAATGGCTGGATATGGCCGGGATTACAGCATCCCAACCACTTGATCAAACAGCTTGCGGGGGTGAAACGGGGCGGTGCTACTATGTAGTCGCTCAGTGCTTCACCCACTTCTTGGCCCGCTATTGGAGGTACGTATTGTCACCCCCTTCCCTTTCTTGCTGCACGAACCGGATGTGATGTGCATGTCTCTCCTAGTGTATTAGCCGTGAGCCGTGAGTTGTGAGGCTCTGGTCCAAGACAAACCAAGGAGCCAAGTAGGTACACCTGACAGTTCTGCAATTCAGCCGACGTCAAGTGTCCATCCTCTCCGCCAATAAGCTCAGGGAACCTTGGAATTCATCGCGAGTAACCGGTAAGACAGCGAGCGAGCTTCCTTCCATCGAAATGTTCCCCCGAACGCTAAGATGCATTGGCGCCCATGTCTCCCAACCACCTCTTCCCTGTCTCCCAAGCCTGTCATCATAAAGGTTCCTCTTACTTTTTGGAATCGGTGGCCGTCAACCACTCATGTTCGAGCCGGTGAGTTGACCTGAGTCCGAACTGGTTATGGCCGCGGTCCAGTCCACTCCGCAGCCCTCACCGGATCCTACCAGGTAAAATAAATAAACAAAACAAAACAAAAAGGAGGTGTGGTCCCGAGCAGAGCAGTGCAGCGCTCGGTGGGCGCATCTGCAAGTCTTTGCGCATCTGCAGGAGCTCTACTACTATGTACATATGGCACACTTGGTACTGTACAGAGGTGTGCTGTCAGTGGGTCTTTTGATCGGTGCAAGTGAGTGCGCAATTCCGTGGCTCAAGTACACATGAGCCAGAAGAGTGAGACGAGGTACATTGAGATGAGAGGCCCACGAGACTTGCACCGAAGGAGACCAGCCCCTGGGATCATCTTCATCTCATCAACAATGCCAATGCCACTGCAATGCATTAAATAGACAAAATGCCCCACGGCCTAATTTTGTCCTCTCCGCGCCTATTCGTCGGGGCCTTCAGATGGCGCCTCTGATCTTTCAAGCACCAAGCTTGGGGGGAAGTCGAACCTGCTTTTATTTGGTCTGCGACATCGTTGTGCCGATCAGCGTCCCCCTCAAAGCTTAACTCGGGCACCACCGCAATAATATGCTCTCTCCGTACCTGGTGAAGCTAGTGTAGATACTGTAATCACCTCGAGACTTTCACTGACGTGCCTGGTCACCGCCCATTGGACCTCTTCTGCATCGTCACTTTCGCTGTCGCTTGGCCCTCGCTGTCCCTCACCTTTTTGCACTTGCTCCCGCACCTCCCGCCGCATCCGCGCCTAATGCCTCTTTTTCTTCCCTCCTTCCCCCGACTGCCCTCCCGAGCCTCGAAACAACTCCATTGTTGCTCGGCTTCTCCAAGATTCCCAACATACCTGCTTGGCTCATGATTTTCACACCTCTCTAGCCCGGAAAGGGACGTGATTCATTCCAGCATTTCCATCTCGTCAACTCCCACCACTTTGTGTCTAGCTTCCCCTCCGTCACTCGTTTTTGGGACGCACCGCATCCACCGCCGACCACTCTCACCGCATCTTAGATTATTACTCACCTACCCGACGTCCCATACCCCTTTGCCCCATCGTAAACACTCATACAAACGCCAGACTTTTACCTTGTCCCCCTTGTTGTCAATCACTTCCTTTCTCTCAAACCCAAGATTTGACTCCTTTTCTTGGCATCCCGAGTTTCACCACCTTCAATACCTGACCTATTGTCCCCCACCCCGTCTTTTACACGGCGCATCCGTGCGGAAAGGAGCAGGATCACACTGAAGCTTCTCTCTGCCCCCTTTTCCACCTCGACACGCAAACATCACGCGCGACCTGTCTCGTCCCGCCTTGCACATTCGTTTCCTCGTTTCCACGGGTGTCCAAACACATTTCGCACTCTCTCTTTTATGCGGCTACTCGCAAGGGCAGCATAAACACGTCCCCAGTCAGGTCCAGCAACACTGCAACAACCCGCAAGCAAGGGCACGATAATAAAGCCACCGACTCACGACTTCCACTCGATATATCCACTTCCAGCCACCTCGACTTCTGCCTCGTCCGGCATCTGACCGTACCTTGGGGAAATCCTCTTTACTACTCTGTCTCCGTACCAATATACTGGGGATCTCACCTTCTGGGCCCTTCTCAGTTGCTCGCTCACCAGCCGCCGTAATTTCCTATTTTTTCTCCCGTTGTCGGCAACACCCACTTTTGCCCGTTTTGCCCGGCGTCCCTTCGCTTGCCTGGAGGAGCTTCGAATGGGAATCCCTTTGATGCGCGACTGCATGCGACTGCTATCCCACTCACATCCACGCCGTCCTGACCCGAATTGACCTCACCATGACGATGGCTCAGTCGCAGATGCAGCTGCCCACGCCGCATCCGGCACCAAGCCTGGATGTCACTATGCCACCAGTCTCGATTTCTCTCCCGAACGATACCAATGCGCGGTTACGAAGCCGTATAGCTCTGGATACCTACTCGTCACCCGTTAACCAAAATGGCAGCTTTGAATTTGACCGCGTCGTGAAGAGCGGCTACCTGCAGAAGCGCACACAGAAGACAAAGGTTAGTCTGACGCCCGTCCGCCACTTGCGTCTGACAATGTTGCTGACCAGTTGTACAGGCCTGGAAGTCAATCTATCTCGTCCTACGACCCAATGCGCTCTCCATCTACCGAACCGACAAGGAAGACAAGCTGCGGCACAAGCTGTACCTGGCCGACCTCACGGCCGTCGCTTTGCTCAAGGACCCCAAGAACAAGAAAAAGAATGTGTTTGGGCTGTTCTCGCCAGCGAGAAACTACCACTTCCAGGCTAGCAGCAGCCACGACGCTGAAGAATGGGTCGAGCTGATTAGGAATCATGCCCGGATCGAGGAGGAACACGAGGAGCTGCTTCTCGCAAGTCCAACGGGACGGCGCCAGTCGTACATGGCCACCAGTAGCTCTGGCCAAGTCGGAGAGACGACAAAACCCGAGAGATTGGCGTCAAGCTCTCCGGAACCGCTAGAACCCCCGTGCCACGTTTTGTCGGCTCAACCCACCGACGCCCATCCCAGATGGCGGATACGGCTGGTTATTCCGGCAATGAGCTCGCGTCACACTCTGATTTTTCCGACAACGATATCCAGCGGATACAGGGAATGTCGATAGAGGACTTGGCGGCCCAGTCGCCTGACGAGGGCTCACAGGGTCGGCCGGGTATCGGTCGCAACGTAAGCCAGGTTAGCGGCCTGAACATCGAGCAGGACCCAGATCGCGTCATTTGGCAGGGCTGGCTCTGGTTCCTCAAGAGCAAAGGCGGCGTGAAGCAATGGAAGAACCTGTGGGGTGTCCTCAGACCTCGGAACTTTATCCTTTACAAGGATGAGTCCGAGTACACGGCGCAGTTCATCAGGCCCATGTCGGCGATTGTCAACGTGGTCGACATTGATCCCGTCAGCAAAACCAAAAAGCATTGTCTCCAGCTTATTACGGAGGAGAAGAGCTATCGATTCTGCGCTCACGATGAAGAGTCGCTAATTCACTGCCTCGGCGCATTCAAGAGCTTATTTGCCAAGCGACGAGAGCTCGAAGCGCGGGGCACTGCTGGAGGAAACCAGTCCACACTAGCAGCCTAAGCTGCATACACTTGGCAACCCACGGAATTGCTTTTTTAAAGCGGGAGTTTTGCCGTAATTATTTTTCTTTTGTTTATGACGCATGATGCAACGATACACATGGCTCTAAGGAGTCTAGGAAAAACACACTTGCTGCCAGGGGAGCCACCCAGCTATCGCTGTGGCCAAAAGTTGACGGAGCAAGGGCTCTGTTAGCGGTGCATTCCTTGGGAAACGCGAAGAGGGCCAGGCTGTTTTGAAGAGTGCCTAGTCGGTCAACTGTTTATCTGACATGGTAGTACACCTCGGTGTGGTATTGGGGCAGACTGGGGCTGCCGACAGTCTCGATGTGAGGCAGTTTATGAATAATGATGAATATGAACCAATATTTTGTAACACCTGTGGGCTGTTCTTGTGGCCATCGTGTGAAATGGGGTATGGTGTTGACCAGCCAAAGGAGGTCCTCGGGGGTGGTTTGGTCGAACGCCAAGAAAGCGACGAAATGACCACAATTTCTGACCATAGGCCAGTAGACGATGCCGTCGTTGATCTAGAGACGATCTGCATCAAGCCAGACGAGGCAGGTATGATTGCATTCGACGATGGCCCTGAGCAGGTCTACCAATGACATCAAAGGAGACACTGAGCTCCAAGAGCCGGCGCGGGAGTTCTCCAAGAGGCACTCAAAGCTCCGGCACTAGATGTTGTGGTGGGCAGAGACTGCGGCGAATGAGAGAGGCGAAGATGGCTCAGGCCCCCGACGACGTCAGCTCGGTCGGGTGACGTGGGTCCCTTTTCGGACGGTCCTATCGCACGGTGCCCCGGCCACACCAACCTCATGCCCTTCACCTTTGCCGGATCATCAGGACGTTAGGACGCCGCCCCTAATCCAACGGCATCCCCAGATCGACCCCCCCTCTCCCCGGGATGCAGCTTTTTGTTCTCAAGGTGGTGCTGTCCCTGACCATCGACACCCAATCACATGCCACAAGGGCCATGTGGTCCAGAGAGGGAGTCTGCCCCTGCTTTTCTAGCGCGCAGAAGACCTGACAAAGGCATGCCTCCGCGCCGCATGCCGTGGCGCCGTCCGGGTCGAACTGTGTATTATTCGTATGGAGATATAGGGGATTCGATTTCCGGTCTCTGTTAACGGACGGGACATGAACCCTGTTCAAGCTTGTTGCGGCCGAATCAGCGTTCTTCGTCCGATGTTTCCACATGCTCTTGACGAGTCCTGACAGGTCGGATTGTGTCTCCATATGGGCGAAACGAAACACGGCGGGACTGTGGCGGCGGCCTGGAAGGCGAAGTTGCCGCTACTCGTCTTGGTTTGGTCGACCACCTCGAGCAAGGTGGCCAAGGTAGGGCCGCGTGCTGTGCTTGGCGTGTGTGATACGAGTGACTATGTTTTCGTAGATTCCCACCACTCCCTTCGCGTCCATCGACGGTGGCCCTCCTTAGAGGCTGCTGTGTGTACTGGGACATGTCCTGCGTGCTGTTGTATATTTGTCTCTAGAGCCCTCAGCTGCCACAACACGACGACGGTCCTCGTGCGTTGTGGTCGACTTACACACTCCACCGACCGAACCCGTCGCCGTGTTCGATAGCTCGACATGGTCGAAGACTGACTGATATCCGCCCGCGCTCCTCCCTAGTTCGCTCGCTTCTGTTCTGCTTCTTCTCACTCATAGTACCGAGATTGCTTGCTTCCCGCTGTCTGAGTCGACAACGCCTCGGAAGCCTAGAGGACCGTCTAGCCTCCTCACGCCAACATATGAACTAGGAAACTCAAGAGTTGGACAACTTGCCAGAACCCAACCATACCGTGACAACTCTCATTCAACTCGACTGCACCGGTAAACCCGTCACCATGAGGATCCTCCATAGCATCTGGGCCGTATGCGCCCTCCTCCTCCTCCCCGTCCTCGCCCAGAAGCCGCAGCTACCACTCTCTTCGACCTCCCGCTGGATCACGGACTCCGCCAACAAGCGCGTCAAGCTCCGCTGTATCAACTGGGCCGGCCATATGGAAGTCAACCTCCCAGAAGGCCTGCACAAGCAGCCCGTCGAGTACCTTGCCGACTGGATTAAGCAGGAGGGCTTCAACTGCGTACGCCTTACCTACTCGACCGACCACGCCCTGAACCCGGGGGTCAAGGTCCGCGACTCCTTCGTCAACGGAGCCAAGGCCGCCGGCGTCGCCGAGGCGGACCTGTTGCAGCTCTACGACCAGGCCGTGCAGAAGAACCCGTTCCTGGCCGGCACCAACGTCACGCAGCGCGACGTCTTCTCGAGAGTCATCGACGTCCTCTGGGACCGGGGCATCATGACCGTCCTCGACAACCACGTCAGCAGGGCCTCGTGGTGCTGCAACCTCGACGACGGCAACGGGTGGTGGAAGGACGCCCGCTTCTACTGGGCCGCCAACTCGCGCTACTTCGACACGGACGAATGGCTCGCGGGCCTGCAGCAGATCTCCCTCTGGGCCAAGACGAGGCCGGGAGTCGCCGCCATCTCGCTCCGGAACGAGCTCCGCGCGACGTGGACACAGATCCCCTTCGCCGCCGACCAGTGGTACGGCTACGTCACGCGCGGCGCAAAGGCCGTCCACGAGGCGAACCCGGACGTGCTCGTCGTCATCGGCGGGCTCAACTCGGCCACCGACTTCACGCCCCTCCGGACGCGGACCCTCGACACCGCCGCGTGGCAGGGCAAGAACGTGTGGGAGGCGCACAGCTACAGCTTCACGGTCACGACGCCCAACTTTGGCGACTGCAACGTCGAGAAGACCGAGTATGGGGCGCTGTTCGGGTTCGTGCTGGAGCAGGACAAGGGGTACACGGGGCCGCTGTTCATGTCCGAGTTCGGCGTCGGCATGTCGGGCGGGCCGGAGGACGGGCTCTCGGCCGAGGACCACGCCTACCTCACGTGCCTGGTCGGCTACCTCGAGGCCAACGACGCGGACTGGGCGCTGTGGGCGATCCAGGGGACGTATTACGCGCGCAACAAGGTTGTTGATTTCGAAGAGACGTGGGGCGCACTGGACCGCGAGTGGAAGGGGTGGAGGAACCAGGCGTTCAAGGGCATGCTGGGAAACATCTTTGCCGTTACTCAGGGGCCGTAGAGCGGTCGCTGTGAGGGTGAGGATGTGGCCCCACTCGAGCCGTCGCTGATTGAAGCCGCGGCGGTGTATATAAATCTTATTCTGGTAGTGGTGGGTGGCGTGGGACAACCTTCTACCTAATGTTGACATACTTTCTGGAGCTTACCAAGGAGGTAGATGAATGGACAGCTCCTTCATACCCAACGGGATACCATCACGATCATGTCCATAGGTCCACGCATAAAACGGACAGCGGATGAACGCCCCGAACCGTTAGACTAGTAGCAACGTATTCGATGCGGTTGTGAGTGATGAGATCAAGAGGGGTCATCTCTGATTGTCTCCACAAGAGGAGATGGTGTATAATATCCGGGTATCAAGCGTCTCTACCAATCTCTGACGTGCCTATCTGCGACACATTTTTTGAGGGCCGGTGTCCATCTTCGTCTAACTCCTGGGCCGTGGCTAGGCTGAAAGCCCCACTAAGACGCCTCCTGAGCTTCCTTGGCCTCACCGGCCTCCTCGGTCTGTGTTACTTCCATCGATTCCGTGGACTCCGCAATCACTTCGCCCTCCCTGACACCTTGTGGTCCTTGGCTTTCCTGGGGTTCCTGTGGTGCCTCCGGGTCCTCGGCTGGCGCATCAACCATGGTTTCATCCGCTTCCTCTACCGTCTCGCTTTTGGGCTTGCCATTCGTAAGTTTTGCCTCGGCGGTACCGTAAATGTACCCCTCAAAAGCCTTAAAGGTAGCATCTAAATCTTCATTGGTCAGAACCAAATCGAACTCCTCCTTCAGCTTCGAGTCAGCCTCGAAGTAAGGGGCTGCTTTGGCGAGAGCCTCCTGCAGGACGTCATCGCCCTTTTCTGCCTTCTTGAGGCGTTCCTCCAGGACCTCCGTGCTTGGCGGCAAAACGAGGACGCTCCGTGCCGAATAGCCAAGGTCCCTCGCTTGCTGAATAGCCTGTGCGCTTGTTAATGATGATTCCGTGACGGGAGTGCTCGCTATGCCTTACCTCGCTGTCCATGTACATAACTGGGACCTTTCCGCCTTCGGCAACTGCCTCAACTGCCTTGCGACTCGTGCCGTAGTCTACCTTATCGATAGTGGTAAATTCTAACAACGCATCACCGTCCCTCAACATGTTGAAAGCTTGTGGCTCGACGAAGTGGAAGTGCTTGCCCTCGACTTCGCCTTCTTGCGGCTTTCTCGTGGTATGCCGAGGCACCCGCGTGAATGCACCTGGACGACGTTCTGCGAGGAAACCGAAAAGCGTCGCTTTGCCAGCCCCAGGCGGTCCTGAAATTATGATGGGCCGCTTGTCTTCAGGGACGTTGTCGTTATTCACCGCCTCCTCTGCAGCAACCTCACTTTCGTCGACATCGACTGGCTCCTCGAATACAGCGTCGATCTTTTCTGGATCGTCAATCTTGTCAAAGAGGGCCAACCTCGATTTGCCCGCTATCCGGAGGGCTCGCCAACTTTTGCTGGCTTTGCTTTCAATCGCGGCGGCTTTGGTTTCATTGTTTGTTGGCATGTCAATCTCAAAGTCGTCATCAGCAATCTTTCGCTTAAAGCTATCAAGCTCCGGCAGACTGTATCTCTCCTCGGCCTTGAGCTTTTGCATCGCAGTTTCGTTATCGCCGTCTTCCAAGAAACCAAGGGGCAGGGAGCCCATCGGCATGGCCCTCAACCGCTTCTTCGTCGTCGTGCGTTGCGCAATCTTTTTGGCGTCGAGGAACAACTCTGGAGACACTGCCGGCAACTCGATTGACGGGCAGTTCTCGGACTTCCAGCGGATCCAATTCTTGTCTCTAGCGAGGACTGTCTCAACCATACGACTGAAGTATGGGCCATCGACGCCATGCTTGAGATACTTGTCGACAATCGTCCTCTTCATTTCTGAAGCCCACTTGGTCTATCCATTTGTTAGTGTTGCCGGTTGCCCTCATAGCTTATATGATCACTTACGTCTTCTTCGCTCAAGACCTGGCCGAGGTATATCACCGACTTGTTCTGGGCGTTGCCAGCCAGCTTCTCTTTCGTCTTGCTGGAAAGAGATAGGAGGAAGTCCATAATGATGAGCGCTTGGACAAGTATGTGTCTGCGGAAGGAAATGTCGCTCATCTACAAAAGTAAGCGTTGAAACCGTCCCGTAGAGTCTGCCATCACCTACTTCAAGCTCGAAAAGATCCCGGCTCGTAAGATACTTGGGGTTGTAAGAGTTCGCCAAGTCGCTCTCTTCCACGTCTTCTCGTTTTCTCTTCAAGCCTCGCTGTGCCTCGTCCACTGCTTTGGGTGGTCGTTGACCTTGTTCGTGCTGAATGGCCCGGAAAGACGTCATGGTTGCTTCCAATCCGCGTTTGAAACCCGCCAAGTAGGCAGGATCGAACAGTTTTTTGGGTTGGCTAAAGGTCTCCTGGAGTGACCAGAACAGGGGATATAGTGCATCGGGATCGAGCGGCTGGTCGGCCTGTGCTGGCTTCTTCGCGTCGAATGATACGGCCTTCGTCTGAGACTTTGCATCGCCGTCCTTGCCTCCGTTCTGACTGTCCACGTCCATCTGCTCTGGTGTTGCCTCTGTCTTGGCGCCGACATCGTCGAATACGGTAACATTTTCGACATGGTATTCTCCCCGTAGATTGACAGAGCTCTTGTCACCCAAGGGAAAGCTCTGAAACATGAAGATGAAGACCCTGCCACAGAAGGCCGTATCCTCGGCACGGGATAGGCGTCGTAGCAGCTCATTACAACTGCGTAGAATGACCAACTGCTTTTGTTTAAAGTGTTTGATGGTAATCCTTTCGCGCCTTGATTCGAGGAAGTCGAAAATCTTGCGACAGCCGGCAATGGTCTGGCTGTCCAAGAGCTCCTCCACCAGCCAGAAAAGCAGAGCCGGGTCGCACTTTTCGTCATCGGAGAGGATAGTGAGGAGGTCGAATAGGTTCCAGACCTTGACGAAATCCGGGGATTCGATGGGTGTGGTGGCCTAAAGGTGCGGGTTGCTTATCAGTTGAGATTCGGCCACGATCGATGGGTTCGACGTACAATCAAGTTGCTGAACATGTTCCGTACGGCAGTCTCAATGGTTGCGAATTGTTGCGCCTTGTTCTGTGTCGCAACACTAGTTCCATTTTCCGGCGTCGTAAGAACGCGGGCAAGTTGCTCATCCAGGTCGCCAAAGTCTGTCTTCTGTAATGCGGGCTCGATCGTGGGTGCAGATTTGACCTCCACCGAGCGGGCCAGGAGGTCGTTGAGCAGTTCGGTGAACGCGACAACTCCAGGCACCCGATGGCGCGGAGACGTGACGGCGGCCGGCATCTTGAGATGTGTCGAGGTCGTTGCGCTTAGTTAGGCGGAAGCGGGAAGAACCTGACCCGATATGCCATGAGCCGGACAATGTTGTCAAAAGTTGGTACTTCGCTTGCGCTTCGAGATCGACGGATTGAGGTTCTTTGGCTGTCGAGGTCGTGGTGTTGGCAATGCGCAAGGCTGGAGGTTGAAAGAATCAGCCTGCTTAAGCTTTAGGTGAATTGAGGTACGTATTGCAGCAAACGGGAAGTCGAAGGTTACGGATGCTATGGGCGGGTACATTCCGTTGGTGCTGGTAGGGGTGTGCGCGCTACGGAGCTCCAAGGGCCTGCTGGAACACTGTAAAGTCCCTGTGGGTTGTCCAATGTCGGCGCACCGCGGCGCACTTAGTAGCCACTGCCGCTGAGGTTCGGCCGGAAGTTACCTCAGCAAGCCAGCACTGGTGGAAAACGATCGCGTCGTCGCGTGCAGGAACCTGGAAGCAGAACCTGGATCTGCGAATTGCCCGAAATGCAAGGCTGAAATTTTTAGAGGTCCCGAGCTCACAGCATCTCGTCACCGTCAACAATTGCGCGCCTGCGCATCGACTCTAGCAAAAGAAATCGACACCCGCCTGCTTTTTCCCTCCCCGGCATGCGATCGCGAACATTGGCGCCAACTACCGTCCCAAACTAGACTGCCCAGCATGCCCACGGCTAAGAGGCAGAAGAAGAGCGGCGAGGCTCAGGCTGCGCCGTCAACTCGATCTCAAACGAAGGCTACCGGCGATCGCCCGACAGTTGCCGACATCGAGGGGGAGAGTGCATTCGCTCAGCTGGCAAAGAAGCACTGGCTCAAGACGACTAGAAGCAAGAGGGCAGCCAAGGTCAAAGTCAAGAACGACGTTCTCAAAAAGGAGATTTGGGATGTTCTAGAGCGCGATGGATTCCCGTATAAGTCCATCTTGACCTTGGAAAGTTTGCAAACGCTGGAGAGGTACGTTGATGCAATCTGAACCGCTGGCACTCCGCTGACTAGGCTGTCTCGCAGCTATCTTTGGCCTGGCTATACGGACGACTCTTCCAACCACCATGTCTTGCTAGTGGTACTACTGGTGAATGCGAAGCGGCGCGAACAACTCGAGGCATGGAGCATATTTGAGGACCGTCCAGACGAGTTTTCGAGCCTGTTCCGCAGAGTCTTGTCCATGACGCTCGATCCAACACTATCTCCCACAATTCGCACACACCTGTTGTCGTTCCTGATATCAGCCTTCCAGAGCCTGGACTGTGCGATTGTGAGGAAAGAATGTGCGCCGTTGGTCTCCATTTCCATATGGCACAGCCTTTCAACGGAGGAACTTCGCGAGGAGAAGCTCGAACAGAATGCGCATGTGAAGAAGGCATGGCGAGCTGCAGGAAAGAGATACGACGCTGCCGACGACGCCACAAAGGCGAAGCTGCGGTTTGACCGATCTTGGTTGTATACCTTGATCCTGCATTTCTTGAACTTGATATACACGGAAGATGCCAAGCCAGGTAACGAGGTTTCCCGTCATCTTGAGGCAATGCGTACTAACCTGGAGCAGATCAAATTCTCTACTGCGAGCGTCTCGTTGAGTTCCTGACGGACTTGCAGAGTCAGCTCCCAACCCGAAGATACGTCAACACTCTCCTGCTCGATCTCCACGTGTTGCCTGCCATGCGCCTATCTCCAATGTTTAATGATGAGGGAAACACCCTTTTGCGTGATCTCAACGCGCTTCTTCGACACTACACATTTTTCACGATTGACGATCAGACGGGCGCACAGCTGAGCCGTACGGAGGCGTACGACAGACATTGCGCAAACCTGTCAAGACTTCAAAAGACATCACTGAAACACTTTAAGGACAAACTCACAGTCCTGGCGCTGTCGAATTATGGCGCCATCGACAAGAGGGAAGAGCTCTCTGGGCTCTTGGAGCCCCTTACCGACAATGAGGTCGTGGAGCTGGCGGCACTGCTTCGTCTACGAACAACGTATCCTGAATCAGTAGCCGTGAGCATTGACAGGAAGTTTCTCATCGAGACAATGCTCTCCACCTTTGAACGGCGGAAAACATTCCAGGAGGTCGCCCGCGATATGAGCCTGGTCCCCACAGAGCAGTCTTTGTTTGAGAATAACGTTATGAGGACGGATAACTACGACGGATCTCACCCCCTGGCATTGCCAAAGCTGAATCTACAGTACCTGTCTGTTGGAGATTTCCTGTGGAGATCCCTCGTCTTGTACCGCGCCGAGGCTTTTTACGGCATCAGGAAGGACGTGGAATCAGCCATCCGACGTCTTCGGCCTGAAAGCCGGGGACCAGGAGAGACGGCTTTCCAAGGGTTTTCCAAGATGGCGTTGCCAACCTCGAAGCCTTCGATCCTCGAAGTTGCGCCTCCACTCGTGGGAGACGACAAGCCATCTTTGGTTCGGGCAGAGATCTCCATAGACGTTCGCCGCTTGAATGACGGCATCAAGCGTGAATGGGACTCGCTGAGACCAGACGACGTTGTCTTCCTCCTGGCCATCCAGGCGCCGGCAGCCAACAGCATCACCAACGGAGACGGCGCACACTCGGAAGCCGAGAAGCTTGGTGTCGTATCCATCCGATCTGCCGAGATCATCCAGATCACAGACGACAAGGGCAAAGTAGTCCGGGATGGTTCAGGGCACTACGACAGTCGGCGACGGTTCCAGTTGAGGTTGGATCCCAGGACATATGCTGCTGACGCCGAGCGTTCATCTGCAAACCCCCCCGAGGCCTACGAGCGGATCAATATTGTTATGCGCCGCAGCGGAAGGGAGAACAACTTTAAGCCAGTTCTGGAGTCCATCCGCAGTCTGACGCTTTCCGAAGTGCCAATTGCTTCATGGTTCCATGAGGTTTTCCTCGGCTATGGCGACCCTGCCGGCGCAACCTACAAGCAACTGCCGAACCGCATCAAGGCAATCGACTACCGCGACACTTTCCTGGACTGGCAGCATCTTACAGGAAGCTTGCCGGGCAAGGTTGTTGAACCTAGAGATGACGTTTCTGGCAGCTTTGGCCCGCCCTACGTCTTGGAGACGGCCGAACGCCAGGCAGTCGAGCCACCATCAAAGCCTTCAAAGAAGCGCCGTCGAGATGTCGAGCCCGCTCTCCTGGCCGACGTCGAGACCGTGAAGGTGTCGACCTACAAGCCGCCAAACATGGGTCCATACCCCGTCGATGCGCCGAAGCTGAACAAGGTGCGCTTCACCCCGGCACAGATCGAGGCGATTACTTCGGGAACGCAACCCGGACTCACTGTTGTCGTGGGACCCCCCGGCACGGGCAAGACGGATGTCGCAACACAGATCATCAACAACATCTACCACAACTTCCCAGAGCAAAAGACACTCCTGATAGCGCACAGCAACCAGGCACTCAACCAGTTGTTTGCGAAGATCGTGGCCCTGGATATCGACGCGCGCCATCTTCTTCGTCTCGGACACGGCGAAGAAGAACTGTACACCGAAGGCAGCTTCAGCAAGCATGGCCGTGTGGAATCGTTCCTGGAAAACCGAGATCGATATCTGCATGAGGTCAACCGCCTGGCCGCCAGCATTGGCGCGCCGGGTGCGCATGGCAACTCTGCGGAGACCGCCGGCTACTTCAACTCCGTCTACATCGAACCAGCCTGGGCCAAGTTTACGGAAATCACCAAGGCAGAGGAGGCCACGGCGGCTGATGTTGTCGGAGCGTTCCCCTTCCATCAGTTCTTCTCGGACGCGCCGCAGCCGCTGTTCCCACCCGAGGCAGACAAGGACACTGTTCTGGACGTCGCCAATGGTTGCTACCGGCATATTGCGAAGATCTTCTCCGAACTGGCTGACGCGATGCCGTTTGAGATCTTGCGCCGGGACAAGGACAAGGCCAACTACCTGTTGACCAACGAAGCACGTATCATTGCCATGACGTCGACTCATGCGGCCATGAGACGCGGGGAGATCGCATCGCTTGGGTTCCACTACGACAACGTAATCATGGAGGAGGCCGCTCAAATCACCGAGATTGAGAACTTCATCCCCTTGGCCATGCAGAAGCCGCAAAAGGGACAGATGGGCCTGCAGAGGGTCGTACTCTGCGGCGATCACTTCCAGAACTCCCCAGTCATCCAGAGCATGGCGTTCCGCCACTACGCAAACCTTGAGCAGTCGCTTTTCTCGCGGCTTGTGCGTCTTGGCGTCCCTACCATCAACCTCGACCAGCAAGGCAGAGCCCGCCCGTCCATCGCCAGCCTCTACCAGTGGCGATACCCCAAGCTGGGCAACTTGCCGCACGTCGAGGCCGAAGGCGAATACCTTGCTGCGAATGCAGGCTTCAAGTACGACTACCAGTTCATCAATGTGCCCGACTACAAGGGACGCGGAGAGACGGAGCCCACTCCTCACTTCATCCAGAACCTCGGAGAGGCCGAATACGCGGTGGCCGTATACCAGTACATGCGACTGCTGGGTTACCCGGCGTCCAAGATTAGCATCTTGACGACATATGCCGGTCAGCGAGCCCTGGTGAAGGACGTCCTGGCCCACCGATGTGCCAACAAGGCGGTCTTTGGAATGCCCAAGGTCGTCACAACCGTGGACAAGTACCAGGGCGAGCAAAACGACTGTAAGTGCCACACATTGCCCCTCCTCAAAAGCCCAAACCAGACTGACCGACGCTCTAGACATCATTTTGTCGTTGACCCGCACATCAAGGGTCGGGTATCTGCGGGACATTCGTCGCATGACGGTTGCCCTCTCCCGTGCTCGCCTCGGGCTGTACATTCTTGGACGCCGCGAGATCTTCGAGGCATGCTACGAGCTGCGGCAAGCGTTCGAGCAACTCCTGTCCCGACCTGACAAGCTAATGCTTGTCACGGGCGAGCTCTACCCCACGGAGAGACTGCTCACTGGCGACGCCAATGCAGAGGTGCCCGGTGAGGTGTGCATGGAGGGAGTGGAGCATCTCGGACAGTACGTGTACGAGATGACTAAGACAAAGGTCAACCAGCTGCAAGCGGAGAGCGCGATACCTGACGGCGAGATGGAGGTGCAAGAGACCCCGCTGGAAGCCGTGGAGGAGGTCGAAGAGGACGGGGATGACGTCGAGGCAGAGGCTCCCGAAGAGGTGGAGGAGTGAGGGACGCCGCGGCGGGCGGCAGGTGGCCACGACGTACGCCTGTTGGTCGGGTCTTGCTGATGAGATGCAGAGCACGACTTGAGTGGGGGCAAACCTCTGGGATAATGATTCGGGTTGGCTCTTGCTTTACAGTATCTAGGGATCTGGGATGACTAGGAAATCGAGAGGAGGAAAAAAGAGAAGGCCCAGCTGCAGACATTTGCAGGAATGAGCCGGCAAGATATTAACGCCGTCGAGCTGTACACACACTACTTGTCGTGATAGGGGGGGGGGGGGGCATGTCCTCTCTCATGGAACATCCCATGTGATCTCCCCGAGCCCGTGCGCTGCCCGAAAACTTTGAAGAAAATGGTATTTGGTATTAGGTGACCGTTCTAGAATGCTTTGTGGAATGTCTGACGTTGAAAGGACGACGGGTGAATGGCCCCGGCGTCTTGCTCTAAAAACGGAGGAGGAGGAGGGACAGGCCCATTGGCCCTGGCCGGACCAGGTGCATTACACTTTGGAGGACTGGCTTTTCCCGCTTACCCTCCTCCCCGCCCCCCTTGACCTCTTCCGCTGTGGTAACAAGTCCTACTACCACCGTCCAAAGGGAGCGTCTGGGAGATGGAGCTCATGCACGGCGCCGTTCGCGGGGTGGCTTTGGTGCGTGTGTAGCAGCAGCAGTAGCAGCAGAGTAGCAGGAGTGGAAGGATGAAGAAAAGCGCAGCGGTAGTCCAGCAGCTAGCCCATCCGTAGCTCAGCCAGCAAGAACCCCCCGGCCGCCCGGGGTCCGCACCTCATGTACGGTGACGACAGCGAATGCAGCGCCGGCTCCTGCAGAGCAGAGAGCTCTGGGGCATGGCTCTGGGGCATGGTTAGCAGGCAAGGGGGGATGCGCAAGGCGCAAAGTTGGAGGGCCTGCAGCGGCCATGGCAATGGCGCAAGGCAAGGTGAAGGCAAGAGGATTGGAGTGGCGACGGAGAAAGGAGCGGGTTTAAGCCCGACACGGGGGTGTTCTGGGCATTGTATCTGTGACTGTTTGGTCAAAGAATGACTCCTCGTTGTGAGTCGGACTCGGGCGCATGCTTGGGAAGCTGACGAATGAGTCAACGGCAAGAGTCAGCCTGCGGGAGAGAGTCTGCGTGTCATGATACAGGATGCGTGGCGGGCGAAGGAGGCGCCGGCCGGTGCTGTTTGGCAGCTGGCAGCGCAGGCAACAGGGAAGGTGGGAAACGGCAGAGTTCCGATGGACGGTGTGGGCAGCAAAAGACAATGCCGCGATGGGCTGCGAGGCAGAGGTCAAACGTCGACGCAAGTGGTGTTGGTCAGTAGTGTGACCACGAAGAGGAACTCGTTCTCCTGTGCTCGCTGCTCCATCTGTCCGTCCAGGCCAGCTCTCCACGCCTAAAATAGTGCTCCCGCCTGTTAGCGCAGTCGGTACACACCAATAACCTGGAGACGGGGTGATGTTGGATTAGGTAGGTAGTTGGTGCTTGGAAAGGAGATGAGGCACTCGGCGTCGTGTGCCTAGCGTCCAATAACGCATCGGGTGTCCCGTCGTCCTGCTCTCACTTGCGGCGACGGTCGGTTTTCCACGCTTGCCACGAGTGCTGTAATTAGCTGAGCTAGCTTACGGGCTGCCCCCTTTTAAAACTTGATGTCCCAAGATTGTTCAATGCCCAACCGTTTCTGGAGAGCGACGCGTCTGACGCGTGCGAGTTTCCGCTCATTGGTGGACGCAACAGCATGTCTTTGCCGAAACGAATTGTGAGAATAAGAACCGGGTGATATTGCCTACGGACCCGCGATATTGAACATGTACAAAGATGGGCAGGTTCAGGGTCGCAGAGCCAGCTGAACGGGGCAGTGGCCCGAAGGTTCGTCGAGGTGCAACGCGACGACCCCCAAGTCGCGCCGCGCCACGCCATGCAATCAATTAAAGGATGGAATGGAGCTACACATGGGGTCACATTCTTTTTTTATTTTTTTGTTGCATCGAGAACCACTCACGGGCTTTCCCATCCCGTGACGCCCCTATTTCCCCCATGTCCAACCTTTTCTGTTCGGGTTCTCAACGTCAGTGACAGTCAATTCTCCCTCTCGAGTGTGAGTGACGGCAGTCAACAGGGCATGCCAGCAGCCCGCGTCGTCTGGTATCCCGGTTGTGCATGCCAGCAAAGGTGCCAGGGTGGTGAGGACCTTGTTCGTCGTTGTGACGAGGGGACCGGGTAGGGGATGGGCAGATGCCACGCCAAACGGGGCCGCATACTCCCTTGGAAGAGAGGGAAGGAAAAAAACCAGGCGTTCTGGAAATCCCATCTCATGTCAATCTCGTTTTGCCCATCTCCCATGCCCCAGACGCGTCGACGCGTGTCACGGGTGATTGATGGGAAAAGCCATGCCGGTCTAGGTGCCAGGTGGATGGTTCCCGGGGTTCCCGCACCGTTCAGGACGACATCGAATCATCAAGGACGGGTCAAGACGAATGAATGCACGACTGAACGGAACGAGCACCAGGCCAAGGCAAGCTTCACTTCCATAACTTCAGGAGGCCAGCAGAGCTCGCTCGCTATCTCTCTCTCTCTTTCTCTCAAACAAGTGACACCTGGCAGCCCTTTGTAACGACTGCTAAGTAATCCATACCATCGAACTTGGCCACCCGGAGGCGACGCCGCCGGGGGAGAGTGGTTGGCTGGGCTTCCGGAGGAAGGGCCTGCCTCGTTCGAGTGGTGTTGGATTTTTTCAGCACTGATTCGCGTCGTGGCAACTCTTGCCAAAAATCGCTGCCCTGCAGTGCCGTCACACCCAATGGCGACCTGGACGTTTGGAGTGCCAGGACTGAGGCGAGCACGCTCCCACCGAGCTGGCCACCCACCCCTAGCCCTTTGGGCACCCTTTAGATATTGATAACCCGGACTCGAGTTTGGTCTATGGTGATTTTGATTGACTTGGCGAGCGAGCGGAAGGGAGGCCGAACGGCGGCATGCACACAGATTTGGTCTTGTTGGACCTCAGACATGACGACATGCCACCATCCTCGATGAGATGCCCGTACTGTCTGTCCCTGTCTTCTTGGACTGGCTGATACGGTAGCATCGAGTCTGAACTTACTCAAGTAAGACGGGAAGAGGAAGGGAATAAAAAGATGGAAAAAAAAAAAGATGGAATAAAAAGTAGACGCACGTGTCAGCCTCTCCCTCACGCCGGGCAACTGCAGGGGTATGAGCTCGGGCAGGGTAGGGATGTTTGGGGTGGCCCTTGTCCAGCCCTGCTCGCCTCTGGGTTTTGCTCCTTGTCGAGAGACCAGGGGTAGTGTTTGAAACCGACCTTCAGAATCAATTAGATTCTTTTCCTTCTCTTCTTTCCATCCCCGTCCATCTGGTGTCACGTCCGCCGTAGTGCTGCTCTCCTTGTTCCTGTGGCTCCTGAGACTCGCTACGAGGTTCCGGGTCAGGACGCGGTTCGCCATCCATGGAGAACGCGGAACCTTCAATAGTCGTGGCCACTATTGCCGAACGGGTGTCTCTCTTTAGGATGTGCGGGACAATAGCCCATATATGTGCCTGGCGATTCCAACGACGCCAGAGCTGCATGTTGCAGTGCTAGATGGCGTAGTGACGCAAAGGTGCGTGTGCGTGTGCGTGGCAGCTAGTCTGCGAAATCTGTACCCGTAATGCGCTTGCAACCGGAGGAAAATGACGGTGCGATTTCGGGGGATGGGAAACCCCCAGCAGCAAACAGGCTGGGCGCCTCTCCGCTTCCTGGACCGGCGTTGCATGGCATGAGAGTGAAGCAGAGATTGCAGCGCAAACTCAACTCTACCTGTACCACCTCCGGGTGAATCGCGGATAGGGGGGACAAGATCCGGCTGAGAAGAGCTTTGGCTAGGAAAGAGGGCAGGGCCGTTTCCGAACCGAACCTTGGCTGTTCGGTACGGCATCTGATGTCCCCTCTATCCTCACTTCTTCAATATCCATCTGCCCGTGCAAGACGTGGAAGACTCTCGACTACCCGATGTGCGCGTCGATAGGCACCTTACTATGTAGACAAAGACGTAGTCGACCCACCGGTTGGCATGGAAATTCGCACTTCCACACAGCCTGCCGACATGCCGAAAGGAACCTTCCAAAAGCACCCAAGCAACCAGACACGAAAAGGACTGAGGGAGACGATGCAGACCCAAGTTTCACAACGCACCTTGAGCCCAGCAACCCTGGAAGCCCACACTACCTTGGGGGCCAGGACAGACAGCTGATGGAGGCGACGGACAGGGAGAAGAAAGGAAGAGAGCAAGAAGAAAAAAACAGGTACGGCGGGAAAAAGGGTCCTACACTAGAGTTTGCTTGCCTAGATTGGCAAAAAGGAACAAGGGTCTGTCCTCCCCCCCAGTCTCTCCATGAATAACCACATCTGCTACCACTTTACGTCGCTCTGCTTGGGCATTCCGCGTCGTATCAAGCCCGAGACTGAGGACAACCTGAGGTAATAACCTGGAATCGGCGTGGTGCGTGCCCTTCTTTGCGCCGCCTCCATCAGTGCTGTGTATCTCCATGTACCTCGAGCTAAGGCGCTGGCAGCATGCGCTGAGTCCGGGCCAGGTCAGAACCCGAAGTTGGGGAAAGGCATGCAGGTAATCTGAGTCCTGTCCCCCGACACACCCAGCCGGGCGTATCGATAATCGAGCGCTCTCTCTCTCTCTCTCTCTCTCTCTCTCTCGTGTTCGTCCATCGACAGGGCCCGGATTAGGCAGCATGTCAACGTCGTCTTGTCTCGGGGCGGCCAGGGCCCGAGATGGACATGGTAGAAGGTGCCTTGAGCCACATATCACATTGCTTTAGATAGCCTTCTCTCAAGGAGAGCACAAGCCTAACGCGCCGCACCCCAACGACAACCCGAGCCTAAATATTGTAGGTTGGGCTTTGTTTGTGCCATCTTTGTGTGTTTCTGCTGGCTGTTCCATGTTCCAGCAGGGCGTTGGGAATAGGAGGCTGAGTGTCTGACCCGAGCATAACTGGAAG